ATCTAATCCATCATTAAATATCGACATAGTTGATACTTATCAGTGCGACCAATGAATATTTACTTGTTCATTTTTAAAAAAGTATATGAATAGATGATTTAAAGTTGATTTTAAAAAGTTAATAATTATTAATAACTAAAGCTTCAATTGAAATTTGCTCGAAAAATTTTTTTTTACATATTGGGAACAGTTTGATCGAACGAAAATTTCAATAACATAACCTTTTGTTCAACTTGAAATGTATTTACTTTCATTGAAAATTGGCTTTCAATAATTGAAACAATTTTTGGAGTAAATTCGTGCTGAACCCCCTTTTGTAAATTATTAATGAAAACTTTTTTAAAATTGATTTTTGCTGTATAAATGGTAGACTATGATAGGTGGATCATACACCAGCACAACAACTCCCCTACATACTGGAACATTAAAAATTCAATTCACTGGACGCTTTATTATCGATCACCAAACTCCTGAGGAGTTATTGTTTCATAAAAAAAAAAAAAAAACTTTTTAATTTGAACGTATAATTTTTTTCTTTCAAGTTATTCATCAATTATTTACATCCAGAGACTGAAAATTCACAAACTATTCATGAATATAGTTTAATTCGCAACGCAAACTCTAGTGAAACTCAATTTTTTGCTGTAATTCCATTACTCTTATGTTTATTTTCGTGATGAGAATGTATTGAAAAAAATTCATTCGTTACCTTTACAAGAGTATTTTGCTTTCAAAACACCCTAAAAATTTTGGCATGATGCCAATGTATAAAAGAAAGTTAAATAAAGGTATATGATGTCAAACCTTAAGTAGAATTTGCAGTCACTTGGTAACCCAAATATTTAGTTTGAAACTGAAGGAAATTTCTGATGTTTTAGATGGATGTAAGCATAAAAGGCTTTCGCTTTTGTCTATCAAGTTTCTCTTTCATTAGATGTGGGTCCAAGGGTCTTTTCAAGAATCTACTGTAGTTTGTGAATTAATAGGAAACTCAACGTATCCTTCGGGCTTGCAGTATTAAAACCTACTTTCCAAACAATGAAGACGATGTAGTAAATGAGCTAAGAGTTTCCATTTATTCACTCAACCATGCATTTCGCGAAAATGAAACGGAAACATTCAACTATATTTTACCACTTACATTCTTTCTCTCGTAAACCCAAATGTTTACCTTCACCATCAGTTTGCAGTTGAGTGGAATATTGTCCTGTTGTTTTCCACAGCACTTGTAAAAGTAACAGCATCCGGTTTGTTTAAAATGTTTCCCTATTATATCCTTGTATACCACTAAAGCTTCTCTGATATCGTTGGAGAATTTCTGTTGGAATGACATGACACCTCAAGAAATATCACATAGAAGAATTTATGTCAGATTTATTAAAATTAAATTTCAACATTTTTTTTTTGTTTTTTCATTATTTTTACTGCATGTAATGAATTTTTTAAGCTCTGACAGGTTATTAAAAAATCGGTTTTAGTGTTAAGCAGGAATAATTGGAGAGAATGAAGATTAGTGATTAATAATGATAACGAAAATAATTAAATTAATGAATAAACGTCATGGTAACTACTGGATTGAGGAAAAAAAACATTATTATTAACTCATTTACATAATTTTAATAATATATTCTTCTTTTTTTTTATTTGAATAATTAAAATTATTTACTAATCGGCAAATAATCAATTATTAGCACACATTAATTTTCATGAAATTAGTTTTTATCAATATTATTTCAATTTTTTGAACAATCATCATGATAATACAAATGAAATAGTCGGTAACGTACAATACTATCAACTTAATCTATGATATTTATGAAAAAAAGAAAGATTGATATCCAACAAATGGAGCGGTAATGAAAGGAAAATTAATCAAGATAAAGTTTCTTTTATAGAAGCAATGGAATCTTGATTGGATCGACGAGCAAATTTTCATCAAATCTCCAACTTTGTCAAGATAAATTAAAAAATGGTTTAATTCCTGAATTATTCTACCGAATTTAACAAGTGAAACTTCCATATGCCATACAGAATTACAGTTTCATTTAGAGCTCTTCTATTAATTAATAACAGTTAACATAGAAATTGCCAACTTCTTTCGACTGATTCCACTCCAGGAAGTTCAATTAATACATCTGTCAACACAATACATTATTATCATCTAAGTCTTATCTTTAATAGATTAGTTTATCAACCAGTTATTTTCAAAAAAAAAACATTATATAAAGTAATCTAATAATCACAAGATGATTTTAAATCGTTAAAAATAGAAATGTAAAGCCTTCTAAACTTATCATTGAAAAGTATTATCAATGCTAAGTAGCTTTTTTTCTCTTATCTCTCACTGGTTGATTAATAATTAATTCTAATAATTCAATACTGTATAATGATTTGAAATATGCCTTGACATTGAATTTCACTGTTTTAAATTCACAAAAACTACTTCCTGTATAGATAAAAAATTGGTTACAAGACTTTCAATCTAACAAGCCTTCACCCACACGTTTTCAAATAAAGGGAAAAGGTGAGCTAAATTGAAATGTGTAAAAACTATTAAGAGCTGACTTTGGCAGAGGGAAATTAAAATGAATAATTGATCTGTTAAAGCAGGAGTTAAAATAGAATTACATTCAAAAATGGTATTTGGTTGATGTTTGATATAAATACATACCAAAAAAAAAAAATATTCTATAGCAGCAACAAAAAAAAAAGATCATGCTTTTTTTCACGAGCGAGGAGACTGATAGCTAGAGAAAAAAAAAGATCTGTATCAAGGCTGTTATTAAATTGGATTAGTAAAAATTTTCAGCTAGCCCTTGTTCGACTTTTGTGATAGTGCAGTAAAAGCACAGCTTTAATGACTGTAACTTTACCTTATGTATTGTTTGAAATTTTATTAAAATAGTTAGCAGAAAAAGGTAAAATTTTATTAGAGAAACATTAATTAAAAAGATTGATGTTCTTTGAAGCAGATGAAAAGTTTTATTCAGAAAATATGTACAATAAAAGAATTATAAAATCCTGAAACTTTTGTTAAGAGATTTTTTTTAAATATGAAATGATTAAAGAGGAAAAGTGAATATATAAAAAAAAATGTAGGATCCAATAGATTCAAGTGATAAAGAATCTTTTGAACCTTCAATACGAGTGCAGGCAATAATTTTTCGAGAACAATAAACCACACGAACCATGGAGAAACGCAAACTGGCTTTCCACAATTTGTAGCTGAAAGAAAGTTTTATTACCCTTAAAGCGTTGGAAAAGTAGTTTAGATCGTCAATCGTCAGCCACGCCAACTTCCTATACACATATAATTCCTACTGCTAACTTTTATTTAGAGATACCTAAATACATAAAAAATTAGCAACAAGATGAATGAAAGAAACTAAATGATTTGATTTCAAATTGATTAGTATTCCCAATCAACATATATTAGCAGAACTATTAATCTGATGGACTTAATCGTTAATAGACATTAGTAAATCTAATACTGATTGAGTTTGATTAAACTCAATATGTTCATTGGTAATTCTCTATCCAATGTATCTAGATAATCAGAGCCAGGTGCAGAGAAACTTATAAGTAAACTTCTTTTATTGTTGACTAATAAATTGTCAAGCATAATAAATGATACCAGACATTAAAATCATTTCCATAATCCTGTAGACACTTTTTTGCAGATCACCCTTCAGAATTTTCAGGAAGCTTTTAGCAAGTACTTAAGCATGACACGAGAAAATAGATGACAGGATAAAAAATCGGCTGATTATTAAAATCTTGTGGATACGGATACAGATGTAAGAAAAGGTTTTGAACAGTAGACAGAAATCACTTAGCATATTTTTTCTGATCACCATGGTTTGAAAAGTTGGAAAGTCTCCAGCAAGCAATCAGTGACACTGGCACAAATATCTAAATGTCTAAGTAACTAATGTGCTGATGTATCTTTTGGTCGTGAAAAGAGTTAAGTGAAAATAAAAAAGGACAATGTAAAAACATTAGTGAGCAGCTTCTCAACTTGATCCAATTGTTTGTAAGCACAGCAAAGATGAGGATGATGGGATTACTGCTCATCGGTAATACAATCGGTCAAGTTGAATTTAAGTCCTTGTCATTCGTTGTCATCTATAGTAGGTCAAGGTTGGCTAGTAAAATCAAGGGTCCAACCACTTTGCTTGTTGATTTTTGATAGCCAATTAAGATTAAGCCTTCGCTTGCATCCGAGGTCGTAAATCGTAATTGTTATTCTTACCGGGAAATTTTTTCTTCAAACCCCCGAGTAATCTAAGAAAAAGTTTCCTTAGACCTTTAAATTATCTTTCGATAATTAATGATTCATTCGAACTCAAGCAGTTTTATACTTGATCACAGCTTTCGTTAGTATCTTTTAGGAAGATTAAAACTAATTTCCCTTCATCCATTTGTCTATTGAATAAAATATGTTGATTTATTATCCATGAATTCTTGTTTGATATTGGAAAAATTCTACTAATTAAAATATGTTTGAAACTTTAACTCCAATTCTTTAGCATAAAAGGTATCATGATCATCAAGCATATTATTATGATAAAAAGCCATTTTTAGATAACTAAAATTAAAAATTACCAAGCTCATAAATTTGTTATAGAACTCAACAATGAAATGAAATAGCAAAAAAAAATTAATCTAGTAATGAATATGACAACCTTACTTAGCCAATAAAAGCCTAAAGTTGTCATACAAATGATAACATCAATTGAAATAGGTATTTAGAGAGATAAGGTCAAGGCTAATTTTAAAAAAAAAGGCACACTTTCTCCGGTTGATCATAACTTTCAAGACAAACAACATTCGGGGATTAAGTGAATAATAAAGCAAACGGAAGGTAAAGATAATAAACATTCTAGCACACGCCATATGATACATACGGGAATAGTCTTGATTATACATCACTTGATCATGCGTGACTTTCTACACAGCCACTTTATCACGACTGCTTATAAAAGCATCCGTTGCGATAATTTTGTTCAGTTCGTATTCAACAACTGCTAGAATAAGTAGTGTTATCTAAAATTTGCACCTGATATTGCTTATCTCAAAGAGTAGTTGCTAAACACTTTAACATAAATTTCTAACTACTATTTTTTTCCGTTTTTTTTTTTTTTTTTATTTACAACCGTTTACTTGACATTTCATTTATAAACAAAGACTACGAATTATTATTTGACTGAGTGATAGTATTTTTTTTTAGTACCAAAGATAAAAAAAAATTAACTAGTGAGAATGGCAAAAAAAATTATCAATCATTCTTTAGCATCAATGAAGAAATTAGTTCAATGATCGAATGATAATAAATTAGTAGACTTTAACATTATTGTAAGGTGACTTCCATCATCATGGAAGTAAACGATGAACGGTAAGTACTGAGTTATTTATAGGTATAACTTAATTGAATAATTTAGATAGTAATTCACTTATTGTCAATTATTTCAGTGAATGCAATAAAGCTATGTTGAGCTATCATTCAAACATTTTGACTCAGAATCCAGATAAATTACAAGAAAGCAAGAAGGGCATTGAAACAAATGACAATGACGAACTCAATAATAATGAGAAACTTTTGTGTGATGAAGAGGAAGATGATGTTCCAGTTCAATACTCCTCTAATCGTAAGAGTGTATTTGCTCAGGTAAATTCAATTGTATAACTTATCAACATTAAGTCCAATACAATGCATAATGAAGCTGCTTTATTTTCATTTTTACTTTGAATTTAGTTTGCTTTTACAGCAACAAAAAATTACTCATTTTATTTCCGGGCTCTTGTCTTGCTAAGAGATGCATGGAAGTATTGCTTAACTGTTAAGCAAAGTACTTTTATCCATAAAACTTTAGAAATAGTAAGCGTAAAGTACTCGAAGATTTACATGCTATTACTTGATCCATTACTTGAGTGCTATAGCAATACTCTGAAAGGTATTAAATTTTTTGTTTAATTTTCAGTGCATGGTGGCTGGTGCAATGTTAATGCTAAATGTTGGAGTGGGAATGCCAATTGGATACAGTGCCATTTTATTACCCCAGCTTTCGGAAGTTAATGGCACCTTTCACATTGATGAATCAATGGGGTCTTGGATAGGTGAGAATATATCAATTTTTTGTCACCAACATCTAGAGTTTTAATGTTATTTAAAAACTTTCTGGTAATTTGCTACTGATCTCTTCATGTAAATTGACACCTGACAATCGCAATTGGCTTTAATCCTCCCAGTGATATATGCAAAAGCTTTGATATTGTTAGCATGCTTATGTAGACCCTCAAGTTGCAGCTAACTTTTGTTGATAATGTCGACTATGTTGACTATGTATTATGGTCACGATGGCTTAGATTATAAGGTAGGAACTTAATGTACAGAATGAAGACTCGGAAGCTTGAAATTGTAGTTAGGAATAGACTTCCATCAATCCCCAGGGTCTCAATACTTGCTTAGAATATAAAGATATAACTTAATTACTCTTGAAAGAATGTTTGTTAGACTTTACGATTCAAGGCTTTTCTACTTTTTATTATACAAGTTTGAACGATAGAAAAATTTTAATCAACTTTTTATTTATTGAAGTGTCGTTTTTTTTATTCACCAAGTAATTAACAGTCACCGTAAAGTTTTACCTATTTTAAATACTGACAGATCATGAATTAACCATTGAAAGCATTTCAATTTAATATTAAACCTAAAATTACTTCAATTTGGAATGAATTGATTTAATTGATTGAGAAGTATTGAAATCAAAAATTCTTATTTGCTAATGGAACACTTATTATCATAGAAAATTAGCATTATCTAGAAAGATAAACTTTTTCATTTCTAAAAGTAATCTTCAAGCTGCAATTTTTTTTTCCAGTAAAGTCCATTTAAATAATTTTCTCAATGTTAATATATAACTAGGACATTAGAAAGATTGTTCTTGGTATCAACAATAATTCTTGAATGTAAATATAGAAGTAGCTTGAGGGACAGTGAAGTTCAAGGATCGAAGAGCAGGTTCATGGCGCATAATTCATGTCTGTACGACGCGCAAGTCAATCAAGTGTCATTATGCATTGTACATGCATACACGTACACATTTTACTTGCAATTCGTTTAGGACAAGCAAAGTGGAACTGACCTAGATATTTTTTTATTAAATAATTTGAGAACTGACTCACGGCCGTCAGTGTCAAGTTGGTATTGTGATGAATTGTCTACGGATTAAATCAGTTATCTGCAATGTTATTTCCATGTTTTATATCATCACAATCATTTTCATGTATTTACATTGATGATTGAGCAAATTTGAAGATGTAAACAGAAAGTGTATAACAACACAATATTAATGACTCACCAATTTATACTAATAACTCAAAATATTTTTATGCTGAGCTAAAAGAGGCATCAAGATACTGTCATATAGAAAATTCTACAAGTTATATATAATTCACTTTGACTATTATATACACTAGTGTACTTAGAAACGAGTAATCATCTGTCTCGTCAAGCTTAAAGCTTTAATCTACAGATTGAATATGATGTCGATTAGCTTACGGATGTCCTTTCATTTAAATGGTGCATTTATCTCGAGAAAAATTAGAATAAGAATTACATATCAAGCTAATATCTCTCTAGGGTCTGCTATCAAATTTATTGCTGGAAAATGTAATTAACTGGAGGAGTAATCTGGACGCTTTGGGCGTTGCAATGCAACTGAGTAACAGATTATCGAGGAATAGAGCATAATGACAGGGGATTACTAGAGAGTTGTGACTTAAGCTTGGAGAATTACGATGAAAACATTTTTCATCATATATATAACTTCATTATCTTGAATTAAAAATTTCCTAAATAAATACCAACAATCTGTTTATGTTAATGTATTATTTTACTTTCTGTTATATTCAGTTAAACGAGCAGAAAGCTTTTTTGCATTTAAATTTGTTCAACAATTTTTTCCTATCATCTTGTAATGCAGTTAACATATTTTTTGTACTTTTTACTTTGATGGCAAAATTTTAGGGAGGATAAAAAATTTTAATGACACTTTTATTAAGAAAGTAAATGCATACGATAATAACAGAATTATAAATGATTCGAGAAAAGCCAGAAGATTTGAAGTTCTGGTATAATTCAAAGAATGAAATTTAAATAAATCAATTTTTAATTTGATTGAAATTAAAATTGAAATATTCGCTTTCTGGAATAATTGTTCAGTTTTATAGTAACGAAAAATTCAAATTACAATGAAATTCGATCAAACTTTCTACAATCTATTAGTTTTTCAATCATTGTTCATACTAAATGAAAAATCAAAAAGAAAGAGTAGATTGTAACAGAAAAAAAATTTGTTAGGTTAGGGGAAGTTCATTGTTTAATAAAATGATAAGTGAAAAAACATATCTACTGTGTTTTTCATTCAATGGTGATTTGTAAAATATAATAAAATCAAAAAGCTGATAAAATTTTTATATCATTGAGTGAAAAAGAAACTATTGAAATAATTGAAAACGATGTTGATGTTATTAGCACAATAATCTCTTTGTTATTGCGCAAATGGTGTTGATGATAGTCACAATGTATCTGTCAATCTCACTTTGAAATCTCTTTGGTCACTTGTACAATCCATAAATTCAACGCTTGTCTCAATGTCGACAGCCGTAGCCTTGTGAATGACAAATATCATCGTAAATTTCTACGACATGACACAATCAATCGGCTCTGTAGTTATTTTAGACAAAGGGTATATTTAAATTATTAAATTTTATGTTTATGTAGGTCAAAACATATGACTTAATCTAATTATAAGCATCAATTTCAGTCAACCTTATTGCATGTTATAATTTAATTGTATAATTAAATTTATTAATTAAGCTAAATAAGAGGTTAGAATGAGTTTTAAAGTAGATAAGAATTCACTTAAGAACCTCATTTCAAAACTTTTACTCTAATTCAGAGGAACTTTTCTTAAATTCATTCAACCTTTATTATGAATGAACCCACGTTTAGTTGATATATTTAGGAAAATGTGCCAAACGAATAATAAAAGTCAACACGAGTTAGAATCATGATGATTGTAAACAAATACATAATTTTAGGTGAAATTTGGAATAAGTAATGGAATAATTTAATTTCTTACAGCATCGATTCATAGTTTAGCAAGTCCACTTGGTTCTTTACTGACTGGACCAATGCTAGATGCAATAGGTAGACGCAGCTGTCTTCAATTGGCCACGATACCTCTTTGTATTGCCTGGTTACTCATTGGATTCGCTAGCAATATTAGTTGGATATTGTTTGGTAGATTTAGTGCTGGTTTTGGTGTTGGAATGTGCAGTGTTGCTGTTCAGGTAATTTTTTCATTTAAAGAAATCAATGCTTTCCAAACATTCATTTTGATTTATGGTTCAATTTATTGAATAATACCTTTTAATCAATCTTTCTGCTCCATTTTACTTTTCATTATGTTTTGTCATAAAAAAATCAGCTAGAGCTGCAAATAACGGAACAACACATCACCAAAAATAAATATTTCACTGAATAGTCTAAAGTCAGATAACAAAAACTAGATACAAAATAAGCTGGAAATCTAGCTTATTGGGCAAAATTCCAATTATCTGTCATGTTAGTTGATATTTTATAGCAAGTGGACAAAAACTTCATTGATTTTAAAAATGGCATTATTTTCTGGAAAGATTGTAACTGATATTTCTTATTATTTTTCTTCTACAGCCTATCTTAAAGTTCATTTAACTTTTTTAATAGTTTACCAGTTTTTCTTGAAGTTGGTATAAATATTTTACTAGAGTGCTTCTATTTAACTCTTAAGCAGTCCTGACTATAAGATATCCCAAACCAGCATCACCAAATTCTTCAGTCTACCATAATCCAGTATTACGATTACTGCTAAAGCTTTAACCGAGATATAATTTTCGTCAATAAAATCAAGTCTTCAATACAGTGAATAATAAAATTACTGTGCGGAAAATTTGGGTCACCGACCATCGTTTATTGTCTCCTGCAGACCATCTTTTATGAGATATCTCATAGTCAGCACATAAGGGATTAATAAATAATGAATTGGTTGAGTAAATCATGTTCATAATGATCTCTAGGTATTCCTTGGGGAAGTAATAGATGCAAGAGTCCGGGCCTCTGTAACTACCGCATCAACAACAGCATACTGTGCAGGAATGCTATTAGTTTATATTTTAGGGAGTGCATTAAAATGGCAAACTGTCGCATTCTGTGGTACAATTTTGCCTATTATAAGTCTGATATTACTGACTACAGTATCTGAAAGTCCTGCATGGCTTGTTCGGAAAGGAAAAATCAATGTAGCTAAAAAAGCTCTGATGTGGCTTCGGGGTGATGATGCAAAACAGGTATGTGTATTCAAGATCGATCATGTGTCAAATGAAATGAAGTAAATACAAGTCTGTTGATATCAATGAAAAGTATTAGATACACAAAATAAAGTAGTTTCAGTATCAGCACCCACAAGATATCTATGATAAAACTTTTCTAAATGATGAATTTCGTTACTTCGCTTTTTTGATAACACGAACGAAGACTAATGATTGGATAGAGATAACATAAAAAAGTTAACTTTTTTTTTTGTGTCGAAGGTCACAACAGAAATGTCTATTCTAGAAGCCAGAGCAAAAGAGGATCTCTCTCGTATGTCTTTGTCCATGACTTTCCGTGAACGAGCACTAGAAACACGAGCGAAAGTTCTCCATCCAGGTGTCCTCAAGCCTTTGCTTATTATAAACGTCTTCTTTTTACTACAAGTGTGTTCTGGCACATTTCTTGTCGTTTCTTACGGCGTTGACCTGATGCATCACATAGGTATGTTTATTTTATGCTAAATATGTTTTGGAATTTAATGAAAAATATATCACAAATATTTTTGTATTTTCAATCTAGCAAAGGGAAGTATTAATAAGTATATGGCAGCTGTGATGACAGCTTTAATTAGAGTCTTCTTCTGTTTTCTATCATGCTTTCTTATGCTGCGAATAGGCAGACGTGCAATTGCTCTCATATCTGCAATTGGATCTGCTGTTGCGTCTATTATTCTTGGTGTTTTTCTACTGTTGAACATCCAAGACACTGGTTTTGAAGTGAGTTTATTTTATTCTTCATTCATTTTTATTAAACATAAATATTTTTTTTCGAATTTCGATTCTTCAGAAACTTGATTATTAATATTCAATCTATTATCTGTCAAAGGGTACGGTACAATGACTAATTTATTGGTATGAATAATTGTAATAAAAGTTAATTGGTCATTACTTCGTATTCAATTAATGTGAGAAGGTAAACATTAATTGATAGGCTATTTAGCTCACGTGTATCAATTCATTTCAGGTGTACGTAATTGGTATTTGTCTTATCGTTTATGTCAGCTTTAACACAATTGGTCTATTAGCATTACCAGGAATGATGGTTGGGGAATTATTACCCCACAGAGCTAGAGGTGTTGGAGGTGGCTGTACCATGTTTCTTTATAATTTCTCACTCTTCGCCACAACGAAAATTTTTCCAATGGTAATATGTATTTTCCTTTTTGATCTCATCAAAATTGTCATATAAAATAGGTCTTATTTTAAGATAATATAGTAATATAAATTTTATGTAAATAGCTGAAAAACATGGTGGGTATCGGTGGAATATTTCTAATCTTCGGAGCATCAGCAGTTCTGGAAACGATATTTACGTGGCTTATCATGCCTGAGACTAAAAATCGTACACTACAAGAAATTGAAGATTATTTCAAGGTAAAATGTTTTGATAAAAAAAAAAAATATTTTCGATTTTTTTAGAAAAGTAAATTGAATATTTTATATTTCTCTTATAGGAAGGAAATATACTTTGGATCAGAAGAAAAAATCGAAAGCAAAGACTCAGTGTGTCTGAATCATAATCTAAAGATTTAACTCTGTCAATGCAAATTTTGATCAATTGTGATAGTATATATGTATATATATATATATATATAAAAAATTATTTTTTTAATATGAATATTGGAAAAATTTAATGCTAAAAAATAAGAATGAAATTTCTATTTTGAAATAAAGAAGACTGTTAATTATTATTAGAGTGAATTGTTATTTTATTAATTTAATGCCATCGAAAGAATCTAGACAACGAATACACATCAACAGCATTACAACATTATTTAAACTATTATTTCAACGAGAATCATACGATACTCTTATTCGTTTATTTATATTTTTTTTATTTTTTATTCCGTGAATTCTAACTTTATCTTTAGTCTCTGAACACTTGGTTGATAATAGGACCCAGCAAACTCCCTCATAAAGAAACAAAAACTTATATTTAATTAAATTAAATACGTTTTGTTACTTGTAAATAAAGAAAATAAATAAAATATACGCTTAAATATTTTTGTTTTACAAATTTATACTTATTTGTATGACTTTAAATTTACCAAAAGTATTCAGAGGTAAATCGACTTAATTTTTTAACAGCACTAGATAAAGGCGTTATGTAACTGATAATGAACCTCCAGCGATGTGATATTCGTCGCATCAACCCCCCAGCAAACTTATCTTTAAGCCTGTGGGTTACGGAATTTTTCTCCTGCAAACTTGGCATTAGCACCAAGTTCTTCTTCAATACGAAGAATTTGGTTGTATTTTGCCAATCTCTCAGAACGGCAAGGTGCTCCAGTTTTTATTTGTCCAGTCGATAAGCCAACAACTAAGTCAGCAATAAATGTATCTTCAGTTTCTCCAGATCGATGGGAAACCATAGTGCCCCATCCAGCACTTTTGGCTAGTTTATGAGCGTTAATTGATTCTGTTACACTGCCAATCTGATTAACTTTCAAGAGAAGACAGTTGCAAGCTTTTTTCTCAATAGCTGTCTTAATCCTAAAAACAATTTTAGTTTAATCCAATGTTTATTTTATTTTTGTAGATATTTAAATTAATTACCTTTCAGGATTTGTTACTGTAAGATCATCACCAACAATTTGGATTGGTGTTGAGGCAGTCATAGAAGTCCATGAGTCCCATCCATCTTGATCAAATGGATCCTCAATAGATACAATTGGAAAATCTTTAACCCATTCCAAATAAAGATTTTTGAGAGCTTCTGGCTCTAAATAAGTGCTGGGATCAGATTTTTCATTTTTAAAGTCCAAGTCGTATTTTCCATTTTTGTGGAATTCAGAGGCAGCAACATCCATACCAATTTTAATTTTGCCTTCATAACCAGCAACCTAAAAAATTGTTTAATGAATATACTTTATCCATCTTTATTATGTCGTATTAAAGTTAGTTAATAAAAATAAATCTTATATTTACCTTAATAGCATCCATTATCAAGTTCAAAGCTTCTTTATTTTCAAGAATGTTGGGTGCAAAACCACCTTCATCTCCAACAGCAGTAGCATCGAGACCGAACTTCTTCTTAATTCCAGCCTTCAAGTGATGATAAACTTCGCTACCCATCTTCATAGCTTCAGTAAAGTTCGCTGCTCCAACCGGCAAGATCATAAACTCTTGCATAGCTAGTTTATTACCGGCATGTGATCCACCATTAATTACATTGAATGCAGGAACAGGAAGAATGATGTCTTTGTTTCCAGAGAGCTCAGCAATATATCTACAAACATTATTTTTCATAAGTTTTATCTCATAGACCTTACGTTTGAAAAATTACAGTTGCAAAGACGATTAAATCTTACTTGTAAAGAGGTATGCCTTTTTTGGCAGCACCAGCTTTGCAGACTGCCAGGGAAACACCCAAAATGGCATTAGCTCCAAGCTTAGATTTGTTGGGAGTTCCATCGAGTTTCAAAAGAAAATTATCGATTTCTGTTTGTTGTGTAACATCTAAACCAGACTGTAACGTAAAAGAAAAAAAAGATTATTTAGAATTTCTAATTTTTATGATATTATAAATTATTGATTATTAACTTAGATATTTTTTGTCATAAAATTGATGGATGAAAAAATGACTACTAACTTTTAATAGCTCGGGAGCAATGATTGAATTGATATTATCTACAGCTTTGAACACTGATTTTCCATGATATTTGGATTTATCATTGTCACGAAGTTCAAGAGCTTCATGGACACCAGTAGAAGCACCGGATGGCACAGCAGCTCTGAATAATCCATTCTCAGATACAAGATCGACCTAACCACAAAAAAATTTTTTTTATAATAAATCATATAAAATTACAGATAATAAAATAAATAAAATTAATTACCTCAACCGTGGGATTACCACGAGAGTCGTAGATTTGACGAGCTTTGATACTTTGAATTGTCATACTGGAAAAACTGCACTTAGAGGTTGGGATTCTGTAATGTAATCAGAATATTGCATAAACCAACTTCGAATGAAAAAAATCAACGATGACTTATTCAATTGTCTCGTGATATTTAATCATAAGCATTGTTCTGATAAAAAAAAAGTTGACAATCGACAAAATTTCTCGTAGATAAAATGAAGGTACATGAAAATCTATCGGTGAATAAAGGTTTGACCTTCTCAAGGTCAATTTCTAATGACATAATTATTAAATTAAATGTAATACATGCAAAGTTGTTCAAATAACTGAAACAAAATCAATAAGAATCTTATTATTATCCTAACGTTAACTAGCAACCTGATCAAGGAATATCTGCTCAGCAACCAACTCCCGGCACGTAATACGAACATATCTGTAAAATCGATCAGACTAAAAACCAATAAAAAAAAGTTAAAATAATGAATTAGTCAAAAATTTTATGAGACATAATTCTTACAATCGAATGACTATTGTTGGTAGTGTGTTTATTTTTATTTTTTGTGTAATATTAAAATTATTTTACCTCAAACGAAATGCGTGACTGTCAGCTTCAACCGTCTAATTCAGACTGAAATAGTGACTTACGTATGACCTCCAAATCCGGTGTAGAATATTTGAGAAATTCTATGAACAGAAATACTGATCGATCATTCGGCTGATAGATTTGATATTACTAATAAAGAGAGAAATAAATTAAATTATTTTCAACAAAAATTATTCAGAATATCTTTGTTTTTTAGGATAATTTCATTGATTTATTGAAGTAACCTTGAAATTTTATAAATCAATATTACTCCGTTGATTACGTAATAATCTGTATGTCCCTCACGCTGATAAAATTGTGTAACTGGGTTGGATAATTATCGATTAACTGGATAAAGTGTGTTTTAGTAAAAATCTAACAGGTGTCGCCAATGAAATATTCTACTATTTGAAAAATTTGAAACATCTTTTTTATAATAAACTTAATATTATTATTAAAGCTGATTGGATATTAAATACTGGCCAATTTTTGAGAATTTATAATGAGAAAAGTAAATAGAATAATCATCTAGGAATTAATATTGAATATATCTAAACACAAATTTAAATATAAATTATCATGCATACCATAAAGAATGGATTAATCCATGATGCATATGTACGTTGTCAGCACAATCCTATTGAATTCAACGCATGCGCTTCATCTTAATGTCATAAGTATGTGTGCGTGTGTATGTATTTTATAAATTCATGTGATGAAAATATTTCTCAAGGTGTTTAGGAATATAACAGGTAGAATGTACACCTAACATAAATATCATGTACAGTATGATGATTCATTTTATCATTTATTCAATTAATCTAAATTGTTTATAAGCAATACAAAAAATATTTTTTACAATTGGAATGGAATATTACTCCGAATTTGAGTTTATTTTTGAAAATTAATATATTATAAATTATATCCTTTGTTATAAGGATTAAATAATGACTACAATATTTAGTTGACATTCTTATCAGTGCAAACATTAGATATTAATAAATAAGTTGACCACATGTAATTATCAAATCCGGTAAGTGAATAACATGTTTAAAATAAAACATTATCTATATGGTTTTGCATAATTTATTGATTATGAAATATTGTTATAACAATAATAAATAACTGTCTGATTTCTAAACTATTTATTTTCTTTTTACATGTCTAACATAAGTTAAATTCATTAGGATATTTTTTAACAATGAATAACATATTAAGATGAGTATGTATCATTATTTATTTATAAAAAATAATTGCACTTTTTTGAAATAAAATAAATTTAATAATATTATTGTCTTATAGAAATAACTTAATCATTTAATGGAATTTTTTTTCCAGTTGGATATGGACGACGATGTCAAACTTCTATGTCCTTCTAAAGAAAGTACTATTGTAAGTCAATGGACATTTATTAATAATATATTGAAATATTTTCAATAAATAATGTAAGTGATTTTAATTTTTTAAGAATAATCAACTGGAAGATCGAAAGTTAGAATCTCGATTTGAATGTCCAATCTGTTTATCATGGCTTCAGGATCCATTACTTACATCCTGTGGTCACAAGTTTTGTTCGCAATGCATCCATAAATGGTTAAAGTAAAAATTAATTAAATTTTAATATTAATTTACTGTTAATAAGACAATTTACCAAAAAATTATTTTCAGACGAGATGGTGCTTGTTGTCCTATTGATAACATCCCTTTGAAACCTGAGAATGATCTGTTCAGAGATCTGCACACAAGTAGAGAAATATCTCAACAACGAGTAAATTGTCCATACGAATTACTTGGATGTACAGTTCAATTATCTCCAATCGATATGCAATCACATATCAGTCAGTGCACTTACAAAAAAAGTATGATTAGTGATGAAGAAATTCAATATAATGATGACCTAAACAGAATTGATGATGCAGATACAACTGATAATCAATCTGTAAGTTAATTATCATAAACTAAGTAATTAAAAATTCAAATATTATTCAATATTTATGTTTATTAATAATAAAATAATTATTTATAAAATCATAATATGAAATTCATTTTAGATAAATAAATTAGTGCCTTCAGAAGTAGAAAAAAATGATGTATCACCAAAATCAAAAAAGATAGATATATTTTCGAAAAATGGTGAAAATGACCAAGAAAGTACAGATTGGAAGAAATTTTTAAAGTAAGAATTTCTATAAAATTATAAAGGTCTTCTGAAAAAAATGATTACTTGATATATTTATTTTCAGGAATCTCTTCGAAAGAATCGTAACATTAGAACAATTAAATCGAGAACTTACAATAACGGTTCAAAACCAACAGACTACAATTACTAATTTGCAAAATCGTCTTCAACTGGCCGAAGAACGAGTTGATTCTAAAGCATGCAATGGAACATATATTTGGAGGTTTAATTTCTTCAATGAAAGACTTCGAGAAATGCAATCAGATCCAATGAAGATGTTTTATAGTTCAGGATTTTATACTAATACAAATGGATATAAAATATGTTTACGAGTAAATATTTCATCAAAAAACCGTGACTTTTTAAGTTTAGTGATGCATATTATGCGTTCTGAAAATGATGATGGATTAGATTGGCCATTTAATGGTATGATATCATTCAACTTAATTCACCCAAGTGATTCAACAAAGTCAATTTGTGAAAAAACATTATCAAGACCTAATCTAGAAGCTTTCAAAAAACCAACTGAAGATTTGAATAAAAGAAGTTTCGGTTATACTGAATTTGTAGCTCTTCATGACTTACAAAATTTCGTTCGAGACAATTCTTTAATATTTAGAGTTGAAGTAATACCGATTAAATCATGTTAATGATTCAAAGTAATTATTGAGAATTCATTATAATACTCATTGTTTTTGTATTCACAATCATTTTAAAAAGTGTACAGAGTGTTATAGGTTGTATTTTTAATAGAATTAAAAAAAAAACAACAGATTTAAAATAAAAGTAATATTCTGAATATAAGAAAAAAGAGAAGCATTGTATCATCTTCAAAAAATTCTATGTCTGAAAGCAGTATTGTATATGTAAAAGAACATTATCTTATTTGAATCAAAACATTATAACATATTTTTTACATTATTATAAATCAGCCATTTCTTTTATTTATGATTTTATTTATTTATCTAAATATAAATTTCAGCCGATTTATGAAGCTCAGTCATATTAGTGGTAATTAATATGAAGTTTCAATCGTATTTAAAATGCAATTTTCTTTTATAACGGATACATTACTTATAACAAAAAAATTGTTATTTCTGAAAGAAAAAAAAATTTTATCTCTTAATTTATATGAATCTACTCTCTGAAACGAATGAGTAAATATTCACTGATTGCCAGTGCCAATTCTATCACTGAATAAATCAGTTATTGGATTGACACTGAAAACACTGCTTTAAGAACTAAGATAGTAAACTTTAGTTATTTCACAGCAAGAGCTAAAAGCTTTTTGGTAGAATGGCTAGGAATACATGGGCCTTTTATCAGTCGAAAATTTCTATGTTTCATGGAAGGATTGTTGGGTCCGTAGTACGAAGAGAAAAACACTGAATAAAGACATGCGATTGGCAACGAGAAAAGTAAAAATTCTGATTTATTGTCTTGTCAAATTTGCTCTACTTAGCATCAAAATTTACTTTATGATTTCTATTGTCTTTATATTTATCTCCAATTTTATGATTTTCTTTTTTTTGTAATTTATTATCACTCGTTTACTTGTATTAACTATTTTATAGCTTGAGAAACAATTAGCTTTTGAAGTAAATATATTCTTTATATCTTACTTTTAATAATGTTAGGAATAAACATCTTTCCTGCAATAAATAGTTAAACAATATATATCTTTACAATAGAATATTAATTTAAATCATACATTTAAGTTATGTTATGATAATTAAATTTTAAAAATGGTTCATTCTCATAATTATTTTACATTATTATTTAGGAAATAGTTTTTCTTTGATTATTTATAAAATTTTGTTGAAAACATTCTTGCAGCCAGAATAATTTTAATACATATTTTATATTAAGTTGATCTTTTATTGTTTACATATATACATTTGCTATTTGCTAACTAAATGTTTACCATCAATACAAATACTAATAATAATGATAATGCATATCTTGAAGGAACTTCAAAAAAGAGAAAATATTTTAAACAAACAAGAAATAGCATCATATGTATAACTAAATGTATTAACTCAAAAGTATCGAACATGTCTATTATTAAATAACAATCCAGTAAATATGCAAATCCTTGACAAGTAGAAAAGACTATCTACATTGAGTAAGTACTTCAACTTGATGCAATTGTTCTTCAAGTTTTCATCCACCTGCATTTGTTGTCCTTAATCTTCGACTTTAGATTCTGGTGGTAACAATTGGGATGCCGTATATTACTGTCTTCTTTGTTCCCTTAACTGTCATTAAGTGATTGTTCAGTAAATTCATTCATGTCAATACTTATTTACAAACTTGAAAATTCTTTTATGAAGGTAAATCTTTTGATATGACTGTAGAGTCATGTTTATTTTAATTTAGTACTACATTTCTATAGAAATAGAAATTTCCATGAATCTTTCGTTCTGCCAGTTAAGGCGATCCCCTCCAATAAAGATTATTATTACATAGACCACCTTCAATGAACAAAGAGTGAAGAAGACCAATCATTCTCATTGCATTTATATTACTCTTTAAAAATGAATCAGGAAATATTCACTACTTGTAGTTATAATAGTCAAGTAATTCATGCAATGATAAGGTAATAAATATAACAGATATTCATTTTGTTTAGTGTTCCACCTTGCCGTCGTGCTCCACTTCTTCCATCTTATTATCAAGCTTGAAAGCATGAAAAATTTGATAACATTTCAGAACAGACAATATACTAAGTGGGCCCAATCTTATGAGCAATTAATTACCAATAATGTTCTTTTAGAATTTCTAAATCCCACATTAATAGAAATGCTGTAAGAAATTTTAATATTTTTTTTATAGATACTTACCAACATGACATTTTATTTGATTCAAGTGCAAATATTTTTTGATGAATGTCTTTTATTTTCATATAATATAATAAATCAAAGATGGTGTTAGAGTGTGAATTACTACTGGAGGACAAAAGGTCGGTCAGATAATGCAAACTTAAAATATTGAATTATAACCAGCTGTGTAAATTGAAGTCGGTTGCAAAGCAACAAGTTTTCATATGAGGGTACTGTAAATTTCCCCACTGCTAATTCCAATGGGCGGTTCTTTCTTGCTGTTACTTCAAGATGTCGAAATACACTGCACTGAAATCAGGGGTTGGCTTAGTCTATTTCGTACGGTATTCCTGTCACAAGCTGGCACATCATTTTTTAAACTCTCTGTGAATATATATATTTTAATATCAATGTTTTATCAAAAAGTGTTATGCCTTCAAAATCACAGAAACAGAAAGTCTAATTGAAGTTTGTATAGATTATTATTTTTAATAAAGATTATTAGAAAAATTTTATTTTATATTTATTCTCATACAATAAAATTTCTCAAGGATGTCATTTTCCAAGGCCAAAATAAAGAGATTCAACGAACTTAAGAGTATGTATCATGATTTTTAAACTATTTATTACTTAAGTTATCAAAAATATCATTTAATTAACTCAATATTTTACCGTAGTTGATGATAGTTCATTTCATGATTAGACAAAATGGCTTTGATTGGATTATTTTAATTTGTATCTATAAACTAAATAATATTAATTATTGAACAAATAATTATTTCTAATATTTTTATGGTGAATCTTTCTTTATAGTTTTAGTAGCTATACAGTAGCTTAAGAGTTTTAAGTCTTTAACCGGAGCAGCTGCTTGTTCTTTTGTGCGAGCACCCTACAAACCGAAGCTATAAAAAGGTGACCGTTAAAAATGGTATAAGCCGGTTTTTCTCAGTGTTTTTAAAACCAAAAATAATTAATTATTCAAGATGCTTCGAAAAACATGACCTATTACAATTTCAATATTCTTTAAAAATAATTGTGAACCATTTTCAGCTTTTTAAAGATCTTCTTGATTTCCTAGGACTCTTGATATTAATCAAGATGTTAATTTTAGTTGCTGTAATAATTATGATATTTTGAATTATTAAAATTAGTTATAATATGTATATAAGTATTTTAGCTAATTAATTTTATTTGTTATTGTAGATGATGTACCTCCTCCAGGATCTTATGATCCAAAATTTGATATAATCATGAAACGATTTGTTATGAAGAAGTCTAAATCAACGTTGGAGAGCCGTAATCATACACTAAATAGTAAAGAGAATACTAAAAAACAAATTAATATTAGTGTCAATGATTCTTCTATTAAATTACATATAGTGAGTTATAACCATGTTATATAAACAATACAACATTTCAATGATCAAAATAAATCATGACCACACTGTAAATCTCAGTTTTCCAAAATGCATTATTTTAATGCGGATGAGTGTGTTAAATATGACGTTACCTATTTGATTAACATTGTAGTCACTTTTGAACTTCCCATTAGGGAGTTATTGAAATTGGGTCGATTGGTGAAATTTGAATTTTCATCATATCTCTACGTTTCATGGTATTTGTAAGCATACTGACCAATTTTTAGAATGATGTGTGTGTGTACGTACGTACGTATGTACGTATGTATGGACGTCAGCATTTTTTTCGTTTTCGATATCTCAAGAACGGATTGAGATATCGACTTCTACCAAAATTAATTCGAAAGATATTATCATAAATAAGATCTGAGTGAAATTTAAACAAATTCGGTTTTTTTAAATAACAAAATAATTAATAAAAAAATGAAAAGATTAGCTACTTAAAATATTTTTAAGTCAAACAATAACAATTTCATTTAAAAATTGAGTCGATACTGACTAGACATTATTGTTCACAACCAAGTATGACTTTCAACAATTACACATTGTTTATCATAATACGAATTTGTTATAAACAATTAAAAATTGTATTTATTGATTAAGTAATGTGTATATTACATGGATTTGGATGTTTTCAACAAACATTGATTATAACTATTTAAATTTGTAATTACTAATAGGAAGTTCGTGGTGTTAGCACAGACAAAGTGGGCTCAGACCTATTTTTACACACTTAGATCTGCGTTAAAAGTGACTCCAATGTTATTTAATTGAGTGACGTCATATTTAACACACTTATCCGCATTAAAATAATGCATTTTGGAAAACTGGGATTTACAGTGCATACAAATTTCAGTTGCTAATTATCAATAGCTTTACGTAGGTCACTACGTAAATTTTGACATCCCGGGAAAGAATAAAATAGATCTGCATTGATCCACTTAGATCTATTTTTTGGCACAATTAGATCTACTTTGTTCTGTGTACATCTGTTTCGATCACTTTAGATCTTCTGTGATCTCTGTAGATGTATTAAATTTTTCTTACCATCGAGATCAATGGAGATCTCTATAGCCATACAGTAATTTGTGTAGATATACAGTGGTCTCACTAGATATACATAGATTTACTTAGATCAAATTTTCTTCAGTTTTTTAGATATAAGTAGATCAAATTAGATCTAAAAAATGGCGAAAATGTAAATCTGTATAGATCTATTTTATTTTTTCCCGGGATATGAAAAACAGTAATGAGCTATTATTGAATTAGGGGTAGATTTAAATACAACAATATGTGTAAACATTATCTGCACAAGTTTAGAGTTAAAAACTTGTTACATTTTTTGTAATTTATATATAATAATTCAATGTAACTGAGAAAAAATAATATTCAACAGTGTACGATAAAACTTGTGTTGAGACCTACGTAGAAGTCATCTTGATAGATTTATGCATAAAATTAAAAGAATAACTCTATGTTAAATCTAGAGTAAAAATGATTTTGTTGATTTGTTACATAGCAAACTCCAATGAAAAAAACCTCTACAAGTGATGAGATTGAAGAAGCAATACAAAAACTAAAAAACCATTATGAAACACGTTTAGCAGAAGTTGAATCTAGCAAAATAGCTTTGCAAGAACAACTCACTGATCGTGACTCCGAAATTACAAGGCTCACTGCAACTGTAGAAGAATTAAAAAGTTCATGTGCTATTCAGGTATGATCACATAATAAGTGAATTCAAATAATAATTCAGACATGTAAAAACTATTAATAATAATAAACCTTCAACTTTGGAGTATAATCATGAGTTAGATGATTACTCGAAGTTTGGAATCATTTTGCATTAAATTGTAATTTCTGTACTTTTTGCTTTATTGTTGGTATTGTATGATATGATTAACTGTTTTGTTTTTAATAATAATATTTTACTGCTGACAGGAAAGTTTTAATCAGAGTTTACAAATAGAACTAGATCAAGCTGAGGCAGAGCTTGCTGATCGTAAACAAGAATTATCGGATTTAAAAGCATTAATACGCGAGGCAGCTGCTGAAATGGTTGAAAGACGACGAAGGTATGCAATTATGAAGTGTAATAATCTGAGATAAATAGAGAAATTAACTATAAAATTAAACATTTATTAATTTTGAGGTCATTGGAGACTATTATTGTCTGTTTAACTCTAAATGTATTTTATTTTTTTAAAGAAATAACTATTCTTTCATTGAAAATACCTGTTATTGTGCTCCTATGTGATGTGATTTAAAAAATACAATTATTGGTTCTTCCAGATTTGATGTAACGATTGCAGAAAATAGAGCAACAGTTGCAGCACTATGTCGAAGATTAACTGAAAATGATGCTACATTTATGAAACTCCAAAAAGATGGATTGTTTCAAAAACAAATAGATAGCAATAATCAACGTTCCTGTCGGCCTATGTTGTAGAAATCTTCATTATTATCATTTCAAAATGGATAACAAATGCTTTATTTTTGATACAATTTATAGAAATAAATTCAATCATCATATTTTTTTTTTAATAATTATTTTTAATATCTGTTTCATGATAGTGAAGTTGTTGCAACTTCCTCAGTAATTTTTTATTATAAAATTCGATGTATTTAAAATGGCAAATGATTACTTGAAAGCAATCAATAATTATTGTTGGTAAAATTTATTCATATAAAATATGAAAACAATTTCATCTTCAACAAGCTTTTTCAACAGCTAAAATGTACATTTTCATGCCACAATTACATTAAAAAGACATCATTAAAATAATAATATAAATAAAGATCTCTTTAAATTAATATGTCATAAAAATGATTTATTAAATACATACCTAGAATTTCTTGTAATAATGTCATACATGTTCGATTTCTAGGTGCTTTAATTGATAGGTTCATTATAACTGTTACAAAAAACTACCAAAAATACAAATCGATATTTCAGTTAAATATGATTGCATCAATATTGAATCATCCATGTCAATATCGATATTGATAATTACTACATTGTTGGAATTTATCATTTCAGGAATTATGTACATTTAATTAATAAAAAGGATCTTCTGATGGTACCTCTGTCGGTTCACTAGAGAAAATTGTCATAGGGAACTGAAAATAGGAGAAATAAGATAAATAGAAAGAATTAATTCGAATTACTGAAGAGATAAATAAATAATTAAATTATTGTTTACCATCACAATTGAATCGATGAGTGATATCAAAGACTCCCAAGGATGGTAATAAGGATTGACCAGAATAACTTCTTGGACGGTACCATTGGTTGCTGCTCCAACTGCCGAATTATTACTCGCGAGACCAAAAATATCGCCGAGAAGAGCAGGAGAGTTTTCGGGGATTTTACTGGTGACAGCAACAACTTCGACAACTGATGCTGAATCATTAGTATCGTTAGAATTACCGCTGCTTTCAGTAACACTAGCCGTATTCTCGTTCATACTTTCATCTGAGCTTGAAGATGCTGTTGTTGCTTCAGAATTGCTGCCATCATTGCCAGTAGTATTTGCATCAATACTTGATTCCGTAGAAGATGAATTATCGTCGTCACTGAAGCCGCCTCTACTGTCTAATGATGAAGGCGATGAAGATGAACTGGTAGAATCAGATGTTGACGGGAACATAACTGTTATCGGGATGTTAGAAGGTGTGGTTGATCCAGATCCTAATGACGATGAATTGGTTGTCGAACTAGCAGATGGTGATGACGTCATAGATCCACTAGAAGACGGAGTCGTTGATCCAAGTGAACCTGTTGTTGACATTGATAAAGGTGAACTGGTTGTCGAACTAGCAGATGATGATGACGTCATAGATCCACTGGACGACGGAGTCGTTGATCCAAGTGAACCTGTTGTTGAGGTTGATGAAGGTGAACTAGTCGTCGAACTTGCAGATAGTGATGACGTCATAAATCCACTAGAAGACGGAGTCGTTGATCCAAGTGAACCTGTTGTTGACATTGATAAAGGTGAACTGGTTGTCGAACTAGCAGATGATGATGACGTCATAGATCCACTAGAAGACGGAGTCGTTGATCCAAGTGAACCTGTTGTTGACATTGATAAAGGTGAACTGGTTGTCGAACTAGCAGATGATGATGACGTCATAGATCCACTGGACGACGGAGTCGTTGATCCAAGTGAACCTGTTGTTGAGGTTGATAGAGGTGAACTGGTTGTCGAACTAGCAGATGATGATGACGTCATAGATCCACTAGAAGACGGAGTCGTTGATCCAAGTGAACCTGTTGTTGACGTTGATGAAGGTGAACTAGTCGTCGAACTTGCAGATGATGATGACGTCATAGATCCACTGGACGACGGAGTCGTTGATCCAAGTGAACCTGTTGTTGAGGTTGATGGAGGTGAACTAGTCGTCGAACTTGCAGATAGTGATGACGTCATAGATCCATTAGAAGACGGAGTCGTTGATCCAAGTGAACCTGTTGTTGACATTGATAGAGGTGGACTCGTCGTCGAACTTGCAGATGGTGATGACGTCATAGATCCACTGGACGACGGAGTCGTTGATCCAAGTGAACCTGTTGTTGACATTGATAGAGGTGGACTAGTCGTCGAACTTGCAGATGGTGATGACGTCATAGATCTACTGGACGACAGAGTCGTTGATCCAAGTGAACCTGTTGTTGACATTGATAAAGGTGAACTGGTTGTCGAACTAGCAGATGATGATGACGTCATAGATCCACTGGACGACGGAGTCGTTGATCCAAGTGAACCTGTTGTTGACATTGATAGAGGTGGACTAGTCGTCGAACTTGCAGATAGTGATGACGTCATAGATCCATTAGAAGACGGAGTCGTTGATCCAAGTGAACCTGTTGTTGACATTGATAGAGGTGGACTAGTCGTCGAACTTGCAGATGGTGATGACGTCATAGATCCACTGGACGACGGAGTCGTTGATCCAAGTGAACCTGTTGTTGACATTGATAGAGGTGGACTAGTCGTCGAACTTGCAGATGGTGATGACGTCATAGATCTACTGGACGACAGAGTCGTTGATCCAAGCGAACCTGTTGTTGAGGTTGATGAAGGTGAACTAGTCGTCGAACTTGCAGATAGTGATGACGTCATAGATCCATTAGAAGACGGAGTCGTTGATCCAAGTGAACCTGTTGTTGACATTGATAGAGGTGGACTCGTCGTCGAACTTGCAGATGGTGATGACGTCATAGATCCACTGGACGACGGAGTCGTTGATCCAAGTAAACCTGTTGTTGAGGTTGATGAAGGTGAACTAGTCGGCGAACTAGCAGATGGTGATGACGTCATAGATCCACTGGACGACGGAGTCGTTGAACTAAGTGAACCTGTTGTTGACATTGATAGAGGTGGACTAGTCGTCGAACTTGCAGATGGTGATGACGTCATAGATCTACTGGACGACGGAGTCGTTGATCCAAGTGAACCTGTTGTTGAGGTTGATGAAGGTGAACTAGTCGGCGAACTAGCAGATGGTGATGATGTCATAGATCCACTAGAAGACGGAGTCGTTGATCCAAGTGAACCTGTTGTTGAGGTTGATGAAGGTGGACTCGTCGTCGAACTTGCAGATGGTGATGACGTCATAGATCCACTGGACGACGGAGTCGTTGATCCAAGTAAACCTGTTGTTGAGGTTGATGAAGGTGAACTAGTCGGCGAACTAGCAGATGGTGATGATGTCATAGATCCACTGGACGACGGAGTCGTTGATCCAAGTAATCCTGAAGTTGACATTGATAAAGGTGAACTTGTTGTCGATTCAGTCGATGTTTGAGGCTCGACCGTTATCGGTAAGCTAGATGCTGCACTTGTGGTTGACGCAGCCGAAGGTGCACTTGTAGTTGAAGTAGTCGTAGGTCCACTTGTGATTGCCGCAGCTGAAGGTACACTTGTGGTTGCCGCAGCCGAAGGTGGACTTGTGGTTGATGCGACTGATGAGGGAGGCATAACAGTTATCGGTATGTTAGATGCTGCACTTGTGGTTGACGCAGCCGAAGGTGCACTCGTTGTTGATCCAATGGATGATGAAGGCATGACTGTTATTGGTATACTAGATGCAGCTGAAGGTGCACTTGTGGTTGCCGCAGCCGAAGGTGGACTTGTGGTTGATGCGACTGATGAGGGAGGCATAACAGTTATCGGTATGTTAGATGCTGCACTTGTGGTTGACGCAGCCGAAGGTGCACTCGTTGTTGATCCAATGGATAATGAAGGCATGACTGTTATTGGTATACTAGATGCAGCTGAAGGTGCACTTGTGGTTGCCGCAGCCGAAGGTGGACTTGTGGTTGATGCGACTGATGAGGGAGGCATAACAGTTACCGGTATGTTAGATGCAGCACTTGTGGTTGACGCAGTCGCCGGTGCACTCGTTGTCGATCCAATGGATGATGGAGGCATGACTGTTATTGGTATACTAGATGCAGCTGAAGGTGCACTTGTGGTTGCCGCAGCCGAAGGTGGACTTGTGGTTGATGCGACTGATGAGGGAGGCATAACAGTTATCGGTATGTTAGATGCAGCACTTGTGGTTGACGCAGTCGCCGGTGCACTCGTTGTCGATCCAATGGATGATGGAGGCATGACTGTTATTGGTATACTAGATGCTGCTGAAGGTGCACTTGTGGTTGATGCGGGAGGCATGACCGTTATCGGTATGCTAGATGATGTTGTCGATTCTCTGGGTGGAATCGTTGTTTCTGTTGCCATCGTTGTAGATGTATTATCCGGTATGTTATATTTTAACTGAAGAGTTCCTGGATTCAAATCCACATTTATTATTCCACTCCCATTTGTCGTATTTGCTTTTGTAACATCCTGTCCCATTAAATAATCTATGTACGTTTTCGTTGGATCACTCTGAAAATAATTTTTCGTTTTATTCAATATGTTCATTTAGCATTATTAAAATATTTTTTTATACTCACTAATTGATCTTGGCCCAAAGTAATGTAACTACTCATGAAGTATAACAATCCACATGTTATTAACTGCTTCATATTTATTATCATAAATGAAGCTTACTTTTCGTCTTATTTCTTCCACTTTGTAGCTGTAATTTTTTTTTATTATTCACTTTTAAAATACTTTACTTCACCTTGTAGTCAAACATTGACAATGCAAAAAAAAAACTATTATTGAAAATGGAAAAATTATCGTCACTTAATTGCTTCAGTTGTCTTATCACTAAAAATTATCATTTACTTATGTTTCATATAGAATAATTACTTCTTTTGCTTATTTTATATCGTTAAAACTATCACGTAAAATAGATTATATAATTTGTCATGCGAAAAATAATGGTAAAAAACAAGCTTTTAATAGTTTAACATTCCAAAAACCTTTCAGATAATTGGAATATTATTTACACGAATAATTCCCTAAAGCTCTGCCTCCATTTTACAAATCAATCAAAAATGATAACAACACACAGAGAAATGTATAGTAAAAATTACCCTGAATTTTATAGTAATTTGGTGACATTGGAGGGTGAGGGTAAAAATTCCTGTGCATATTCTAAAAATTACCATACTGCATAGTAATTTTTAGGGTAAAATTAGGGTAAAAATTACTATGCAGTATGGTAATTTTTAGAATGCGCACAGCAATTTTCACAATGCGTATAGTAATTTTTACCCTCACCCTGTAGTGTCACCAAATTACTATGAAATTCAGGGTAATTTTTACTATACGTTTCTCTGCGTGAAAGAGATTTGAAGAATGGTTATCTCATCTTCTTCCAAATAATGTTTTCAACTGTTTATTTTATTCCTTAAAAATGGTCATTTCAATTAAAAAGAAACATCATATAAATCATGAATTAATTAGTTTTTAAAGTTCATAATTCAAAATCGCGATGCTAAAAAAAACCGACACAAAGGGCCTCTCTATAAAAATTGTGTTTTTTTGGATGAATTATTTTTTTAATGTTGCACGTTATGGTACATATATATTTATTTTAAGAATTATAAGATCATATTATCTCTGACCTTATTTTATACTTTTTAAATTTACGATATTTTGTAAAAAACTAAATTCTTTTTTCTGAAACAAATTATTTTTTATGAGTAAAATTTTTATTATCTTTCGTACGTATTGTCACGTTAACACATAATCTTACGGCGTGAGTTTATTTTATGCAGTATAGATTTTTGCAGTGACTCAAAAAAACGTAATAGGACATTTCAGCACATTTTTTTTTATTAGAAAATCAAAAATGGTGGGTTCATCATCATTCATTGAATTGATGAAAAAATCAGTCAAATATTAATATACAAATGAAAATCATCTAGGTAATTCGAATATTTACAAAAATGCTCAACATCAATTATTTATTTTTTATATTAAATTTGTAGAAATTTTTGTTACCAACAATAAAATTAAAAAGGTCAGGAAAATGAATAAATTATCATTCTTATGCAATAAAATTTCAATGAACTATTAGAAAATTAATCTTTGAGGAAAAATATACGTAATTCGAACTTACTTCATAATGTTAAGAAAGTTGTGGTTTTGCAAATACCACTATTATTTATAAAAACGAATTACTTTCACAAGCGAATTATGAAATTTTTTTATTTTATTCAAATCTGACCTTTCCACTTCACTACCCAAAAAAAAAAATCATTAGTTTATTATAATTGTCTCTAAACTTCACGTATTTTAATATTTTCATACAAAAAATAAATTACAACCCCAGGATTAAAGTGATCAAACAATGCACAATATAATTGATAGACATTGATAGCATGCTCTTCAAAAATGATAATATTCATGTCTAATAAACTTGATATTGTTTCTGTTATGCAATTGTTGAATGTATAATATCAATGATTTCCCAGTAAAAATAAAAGCAAATGGATAACAAAATGAAAATGATGTGGTAAGAGTAAAACAAAAACTTAGAGATTTGTAGTTAAGTGTAGAAATTTCGAAAGTATCAAAGTAACATCGAAGCGCAATTAATCTTTTTATCAGGTATTATTTACCAACGTAGTGACCAATAGACCGTACCATCTGATGTTGACGCAACAGTACATCTGTTAATCAAAGTATTGGAACGAAAGGTAATTTGTTACATTATTCTGGTTCGAGACAACAATATAAAAGCTTTGTTTTAATTTTATCGATCATTTAATTGTAAAGATAGAATCCGTCTAATTCGCAGCTATGGTCCGGTTAAAAGTCACGGAATTATGTTTAGTGGTGACAGTGTTATGCGCAGTCATATATGCATCAAGAGCACAATATGCTCAACCAGCATTAGATTTAGAAGCTTTTGCTACTAGTCACCATGAAGAACATGGTCATAAACATCATCACGATTCCCATGAAGAGCATGGAGAAAAAGGTGAAAAGGATCATCATCATCACCATCATCACAAGAAAGGTGATAAGGGTCACCACAAGAAGGACCATCATCATGGATTCCATGAAGAGCATGGTGGTCATAAAAAACATCATCATGACGAGGGTGATTCCTATGAACACCATGACGAACATGACCATGGACACAAAGGACACAAACATGCTGCTAAAAAGGGACACAAGAAGGGAGAAAAAACTCACGGATTCCACAAGAAAGCTCACAAAGATGAATATCACAAGGAACATAAATTCTATGATGACTTCCATAATAGTGGACATCATCACAAGCATGGTGATCATCATGACCATCACCACAAGAAGGATGGACATCACAAGAAAGGTGAAAATCATCATGCAGGCCATCACCACCATCACAAAGCTGAGAAAGGACATCATGACAAAGGGCATTATGATCATGATCACAAGGATCATCATGGAAAACATGGCTATGATAAGCATCATCATCATCATGACGACTATGGTAAAAAGGGAGGCCATCACCACGAACATAAACATGGATACCATAAAGGCCATAAAAAGCATCATGGATAATTTCATTTGAAATAGAAACAGTTTTAATGATGTACATTAATAATACAGTAAACACATTCATTAAAATACTGTTCTGTAGAATACAATTTTATCTGTGTGATTATTTATTTGCCAAGTAATATCATCCAATTTTCTTCTTCATGTGAAAATACTGTTTTCAAATCAATATGTATATTATTGTTCACTTTTCTGGGTTTTATGAATTTATACTTGTTCAACACAACAGAAGCTTTTTGAGTGATTTATGGTGGGTGACACACTAATAGATTATTTAAAAAGTTTATTCTCTTCAGAATGTTTTAAAAATATTGTACATAATGATGGAAAATATATTAAATAAAAAATTTCAAACATTAATCTTAATGTCAGCTAATTTTATTGTCAGTGCACTTTTTAATTTCTTTTAATGAAAAATATGTCTGTGAATACATGTAGACAAATTTATATTATGAAATAATGAGTTTTATTATTGAAGAATATTATTAGCTTGATTCTGAGTTTAAATAGTTGGAGAGTAGTTCTCTCATTCGGACTTATCTAATATTGTTTTCAAAGTTTTCCGAGGTAATCTTTGCAAGGATCCCATGATCATGCTCCTTGAATCAGTTGGAAGAATTTTCTGTGCAATTGAAAGTATGCAGAAGTCTGCAGGCATTGATTTATGAACAGAAAGTTGTGAGGAGTTCAATCAAATTCTCAATTATATCTAGAGTTGTGAGAATGTTAGCATATTCATTATCATATACTCCATATGGTAAAATCTTAATAATGACAGTCAAGTTTGTTTTAATTGACAAAACTTCTCTAATTAATTTTTATTTCCACATTAAAAATTCAATTAATAATTATAACGTAAGATTAATTAAATCTATCTCGATTTTCAATTTATTTTCCAATTAATTTTGGAATCAACCTCTTTCCGAAGGGATAAAAGAATTTTTCATTCAATAAGATTTCCTGGTAAATTAAATTTACAGAAGTTTATAAAATTAAATTTAGTTCATTAAATATATATTTTCTATAACCAAAATAATAAAAAAAAGAATATATAAAATAAACTATCACTCGGTCTTGAATAATTGCTTTTCTCGATGAAGTTCGTAAAACTGACTGACACCAAAAGATTTATTGCCACTAAAAATCGATTGTGGTATCAGAGAATTTCACCCCTGATGATGTGAACTATGAAGCCATGAACTCTTATGATAATACATGTTTTTACGAGATAAATATTCATTAATACATTCTTTAATTTCATTAACTACTCCACATATTTGAGGTTATATCAAACTTTTACTCCAAAAAGATGAGAAAATTAACCTCATTTCTTCTTCAGCAAAAAAAAAATTAACATCGACACTACAATACATGTGTGCATTGAAGTAAAAATTATTCGGCTTCTTAAATGGTTTCTTGAACAGTTTCCCAAGTTTTTATGTACATCAGAACACCCATGACACTGCATATATACATGTTAAGAAATAATCGAAAAAATCTTCAACAAAAGAAGGAAACAATTGATTGTGTGATTGTGATTTCATGATATATGTATTCATATAAAAGAAGCATCTGAAATCGGCATAAGCATTGATAATAACTGTGCTAGTCAAATGGTCAAAGTAATGTCTGAAGTAATGATTGCGCATGCGCAGCAATTTTAGTTCTAGAGGAATATGGTCCTCGCAACGGAGCAACATCGTAGCATAGCGCATTTGAGTAGGGAGAGAAGTGGAAGCTTACGGATCGATAAAGGCACGCGACTGCAAGCGTTTGTTGCGTTAATTTAGGCAGACCCTATGGATTGTATTTTTCATCTTTTCAATGAGAGTGGTGTTTATGTGTGTAAGCGACAAACAAATCAATTTTTTCATTGAATTTGTTATAAATATTTATAAAATTTTGTAGTGTTTTAAGATAACTAAACTTCATACGTATCATGTGAATATTAAACTTGAAATTTATACTTTGTAAGAGATGATTAACGATATTTAGTCGAATATTTTGTAATTTATTTTCTTCGCAAGTGATATATCAAAAAAATAATGGAAAAGTTAAAGTTTATAATTAGATCATAGTATTGGAAATTATCAAACATTTTATACATTTCATAAGATTCAATTGTTTTAAATAATAATTGGATAAATTTTAGGGCATTTATTGTAGTTTAAAAAAAAAAAATGATAAAATATAAATAATAAATTAAAGAGTGTATTTAAATAATAAAATGGTGCGTAAGAAGTGTTATGTTATGATAAAATAAATTTTTATACATCTATAGAAAGTTATATCAATGATTGTAATAGTTGATAGTACGGAATCAGAGAGAGAATCGATTTAGTCTTTTGAATGGACATGGTACATATATTGTGGGGGTTTCCCCTCTACCAGGGTGTTTGTAGATTGTGGCAACCCTCCCGAAATATTACTATAATAGTTACAATTGTTTTTTTAATCTGTGGATTTTTGCCACGAAATGTTGTTGGCGAACATGGAAAAGAATGTAAGTCTATTTTATATCTGCTCTATTATTATTTAAATGACTGGCTATTTTATTTATACATCACAAATATCAAATATTCCCTTTTAACCAATTGTAAGATTAATCATTTTGATAACTAAAAAAGAAATATTTTTTACACCTCTGTTATTTAACTTTCAATCAATACATTTGATTATTTTTCCCATTTCATCATAACTATAATTTTTAAAAAAATTGAATAAAATTTTTCATCAATTTAAAAATATTAAAATTTATAAGGAATTATTTTTAATAAAAAAAAACTTGTCTTATTGAAAGTAATATTATTTAATTCCTAGTTAAATTTAATGTAAAAAGATGAATATTAATGATTTAAAGGAACGTTTGTTTATTTATTGAGCTGCAGTACAGAAAGAAAGAAATGGTTCTTTTGAAATAAAAAAAAAGAAAAAACTGAATTAAATAAGCTATTATACAATACCACATAAGCGTAAGGCGTGAAAAGATCTCAGTCGGTATTATAGTTTATGACAAGAAATTATCAATACTTTCTAAGTAGAACAAATCAGCCATATAGTTGTCATAAAAGGATGAAAAATTTTATTATCAAATCAATGCTATAAAAAGAAATATATCACAAAGGTCATCAAAACTAGACTTTAATGAATATACTGTCTATAACTCATTAGTAATAAAATATGTTAAATAATTTACTTTCAATAAATGAAATATATAAAATAAAAATTCATTTTCTTTTTCAGATAAACTTGATAACATCTGTAAAAATCATTTTTTACGAGAATTATACAGAAAAATAGATGGTGCTGTTTTAACGTCACAAAATGAGCATAATTTAAATTGTGCTATAACATTTCAAACTCACAGTATTCTTCAACGTTTTATGTTGAGGTTTGATCGGCTTCAACTTGACTGTAATGATCATCTTTATATTTATGATGGAGCTCATGCTGGCAATAATTTTAAGGTAATATCATTAAATTAATGTTTGATTATATTTTTAAAACCTATCATAAAATTTTCATTATCAACTAGAGCTTATAAAATAATAATCCAGAATGTAAAATTTTAATTGAATTTTTTCGTTCATATTCATTTATTCGGCATCTCTCCAATATCTATTTTTTATCGTTTTTTTTTGTTGCAGGCCGATTTATCATGCAGAAATACTCATTTAAGCGTTGGTGCAATTTATACACGCACTAATTTTGTTACATTGAAGTATATTACAGATGCTTGGGGTACCGATTCTAATGGTTTTAGGCTCGTCATCACAGCTGTCAAAGATCTCAGTAAGTTAGGAGGATACAAAAGATTTTTTTATATTTTTAGACTGTAAAAATGATTATAAAAAACTCGAGTCATTGAATAAAAGTCTAGGTTTTATAAAAATCATCATCATTTGTATTCTAGAACACACTTGTAAAGATTTCCGTTGCACATTGAACGAGTTTTGTGTTGATAAAGATCTTGTTTGTGATGGTGTTAATCACTGCGGCGATGGATCTGATGAAGCACCATCTGCATTATGCGCCAGTAAGTTGAAATTTTTTATCGTTCTTTTTTTAGGAAACATTTAAGAACAACGAAGAACAATATGTGGCCTCTTTATTACTACAGTAAAAGTAAATGAAGAAGCAGCCATAAGTATGATAGAAAAAAATTTACTAAAAGTTTTATAATGAGAAAAAAAATTTTGTACATGAGAATATCTGGCTTAACAATAGTTTAAAATTGAATTTACAAACTTTTTGTACTTTAACATTAAATCTAACCGGTTTTAACATTACACCGTTTTTTTTTATATTTTACTAAACTCTATGAATATTTTTTCAATCAGTGTTTCAACACTTTATTAATGTTTTTTTGTCTTTCAAATTTTAGATACTAAAACCTCTACAATATTTGGAATCCAACAAACATGGTTTGCAGTTGTTTTAACAGTAATGATTTTGATGATAGTGGGTTTGGTCATTGGCATAGTAACTTGTTACTGTCGAAAACGCACAGCATCTCCACGACATCCACATAATGCTCTAGCTGCTAGAGCTCATCAACCAGTCAACTTCCCATGTGAGTTATTTTGCTTAGTGTGTATGCAATTATTATTTTTTTTTCATTTCTCATCTTGAATATCAATATTTATCGAAGGATACTGAAGCGAATATTGGAAAATATTTGTATCATCCAATGTACGCACGTATGTCCATAGATATTTTATGTGAAATTGACGATCATTGTGACCTGAATACAAAATGCTGTATAATATTATGATATCAAGAGCTCCAGCTATAACTTTTATTTACATATATTTCAAATATCATTTATTATAACATACAGCATGTATTATTTCTGTTTATTTTCTCTTCAATAATTGAATCGAACTGGTATTTCTATAAATTTGATGGAAAATGTCTCACAGTAGTCATGGAAAAATATGACATGAAAGAGACATTTGATTTCATTTTTCATTTGAAGCAAAAGAATTCTATTACTGTGAAAAATTCCTTTTTCAACAATAAAATATGTCTTATATGTGAACTTTGGATAAGATATGATAAAAAAAAAAGTAAATTTAATAAAAGTGTAAATTTTCGCGTTATACACTCAGTATATGTATCAAATATATCATCATATTCTATTTGATTCAATTATTCTAAAGAGTCATGGATCAGATTTAACCAAATTAGATAACATTCATCAGGTCTATTATTACATTTGTTTAAATCTGACTAAACAAACTACATACCATCTAATTATACCCAACAATTTTCATTATGAATAATTTATTTTTATTAACGTTAAATTTTACTATAAATAAAAAATGATATAAGTCTTTACACAATTTATAAGTAATAAAATTTATTAATATTATGTGATCGTTTTTATTAATTGTGGTTTAAGTAGATGGTTTCAAGAAAATGATAGAAACTGTTATAATGATAAAAAAAAACTTTAATTGGTAAGTTAAAGCTTTTTAAGCTAGTAAGAGTGTAGAATTAATGTGTGTAATTACTATAGATTACTTGAAAGGATTTTATTGCTGTGGGATTTTTCCGAGATGAAATCCTGCGCAATAGTTTATGGGACTTAAACGTAATGTGACAAGACTGATGTGCTTTACGGTTTTCTAGTGCAACAGATGTGCGGATCAAACGGGGCGAGCGCTGGGATGCCAATGGGAATGACAGTAATCAAAGGACCAGCGGAAACTCCAGGACCGATGACCAGTCTAAATTATGCAGGAGTGAGCATCGGGTTAACGGGTGCCACGACACTACCGCGGTCGGGAAACTGGCTACACCCTGCAGGCCTCAGGCTCGGGCACAGCGAGGTTCGGGTCCGCCTCTATTGCCAGGCAAAGTAAAAAATCACGGTTCAGACAGGTTCGTTATCGTATGTTTCTCACAAATTGAACACAAAATTTACAAATCATTTCATCCAGAGGCATTTATTGAATATTGATTTTGAATCATTTCATATAATATTTCTCTGCTCCAAAATGGAAAAAAAATTCACGCCTGACCAAACTGGTTTAGTTCTACTTAAAGGCATTTAAATATTTGAAAAATTGCAATTTATAAGAATTAATGAATGAATAAATTATCACAGGAATATTTTTTTTCTAGAGATGACGAAGTTAATATTCATGTTTTTTTTATCTTGAAAAAATGAAGAATTGATTAGAATATCAAATAAAAATTTTATGAAATCTTTGACTGAACTGCAATGCTAAAAAAAAAGAAAGAATTTCCTGGAGTAATTCTGACTATCTTCTTTTATACTATGTAAATATTCAGCAGTCATATTCAAAGCAGATTTGATGTAGGATTTATTTGAGAATAAAATTTTTTTACAATTGCTAGAAAAAAAAACATGAGAAAATCTGTTGAAAGTGAAAATCGAAATGTAGTCTCGAATACTATAAATACAAATCGCTATTATTGCGAACTAATGATCGTACCCTTAGACTACAAGCCGATTAATAAATGATAGCAAATAGTCAGGTAATAATAGTCAAGTAGTTATTGAGCTATCTACTTTGATATGATATCATACCAGAATGCACTCTAATATTGGTGCATCATAGTACATTTTATAAAAATATAAATATGTATATCTTTAATTCATTCAAACTATGCTAAACATAATCCCCTTTGCATACATTATTTTTCTCAACTACTTTTTCCCCAATGTTTTATAAAAAATTCTTCTCTTTTTGTTGCAGTGATATTTCATCTAGTCAAAAAGATGAATGGTTTGTATAGGTAAGGAAATCAACTATCGTATTTTAATTCAACAAATAATTAAGGATTATTTTCATTGAGAAAAAAAATTTATTTGTATAAGACAAGTGGCCTTTAATGCTATTCCATTAATTAACTAAATTATTCACTCTTCAAAATAAATGATATTTAATGAATTAATTGGATTCTCGAGTAATTATTGCTCTCCAGTAATTCTTAACTATCTCAATAAAAGTTTGAATATTTTATTCTAAAAACTTCATTAACGATCTAATTAATTTAATTAATTATTCATTAGACTGTATATTTTTCTTTAGTCTCTAAATAAATTGAATGTCTATAAAAATGAGCTAATTTTCAATAATCATCAATTTTGTTAATTACCTTAGATGTTCATGACTGAAGTAATCTTTTCTTTCAAAAGCTTATTGTATTTATTGTACCAGCAATGTCAAAAACCTTTATAAACGTAAATTTATCACTCAACAAGATAAACAAACGTGTTTATAATCTTATCAAATGCTATCTCAATAGCCCATTTTTAAATAGATGTACTAGGTAGGATGTAGTCTAGAGTATTTGTTATTCACTAATTTGGTATTGATGAAAAGGAAAGAAATGTGAATAAAATTTTGAACCAGATAAGCTATTTACCTCGTCTGAAAACTATCCCATCTAATTTGAATCTATGCTTTCCAAATGAACTCACGTCAATACAAATACATAGCATATTGCAGACGTTTCAGAAATGTTCTTACAGTGTAGAAGAAGCTCATTAAACTTGATAAAGTAAGCTGAATAGTTCTTGAAATGTTAACAGTACACTAGGTTTAGTGGGTGTGGTATTCATCTGGAAACTTAGAAGTTAAATCTAATTTTATCAACTGCCAAAGTGGTGAATAAGGAATACAACTTTGAAAAAACTGCATAAAGAATCTACTTATCAATTTATTTCAATCTAATTTTAAATAATTAAATTAATTTATCAATACTTAGTTGATGTAATAAATATATGTAAACATTTTTCTAATTTATATATTTTTTTTTGCAGAGGCAGATCTTACCAGAGCCTGCAGGGTGATATGAAAACGGTTGTGCCCACACCGTTTCTTTAATTAAATGATAAAATAGTTGTTTTTTAATTGGAATTAGAATATCATTAAGATATTACCAAAGTTACATTTAATATCAATACTTTACTTACAAGCAAGACCATAAATAATGATCATAAAATTAATCATTTATTTCTCTACGATATTCAAAGTATTTTTGAGTTATTTACCAGGAAAATATGTATCAAAAAAATATCTGATAACTTCAGAATTTATCTTCAACACATATCAATTTGTTATCAATATATTTTGTGACTGAATCTTCATAAACTTATTATTTATGTAAAATTTTTTTTTTATATACTAAACATATATAATGTAATGAAATATATAATTGAAGGACTGCGCTAACTCATTGCCTTATAATCATGGCATGAATATTAAAAAAAAATAAAAAATAAAAAACAGAGTAGATTTTCCATTTTATGTAATAAATGATTATTATTCTATTGAAAAATTAACTCGAATTCAAGTTTGGCTTTTTCAAAAAAATTTAATAAGAAACATAAACAACTGATTTATATTATTGTTCATCGTTTGCTAAAAATGAACGAATTATTATTAGCAATCTTAATCATTTTTACACTATTCTGAAACAATTTTAATAGACGCCATAAGTACAGAGATTGTCTGTGCAAAATAAAAATTGAAAACAATAACATTATAGGTATATATAAACGGACTTCGGACCAAAAATATACGTTTGTTGCTATGGTGTGTAGTAAAAAAAATGTAGTGTGATGAAGAAAAATAAAGAAAAATGATGATAAAATGTAAGAGGGGGGCTATTTTAATGGCGATTGACATTTTGATGTCAATTTAGTTCGATTCTATTGTGTGTTCATAGATTCGAAAATTAACTAATAATTATGTTTATAAATGTCACTTGTTTTTGAATGTTCTTATAATGTTAGTATGGAGTGATTGAACATAATATTTATAGTTAGAATATTTTCGAATAATTTATATATAATAATTATTGCCCCTGTAATGACCATTTATTTAATTCTACTATGTATGTAAGCAAATCATTTTGTTTAGTACTACTAGTACTAGCAAATCTACATATGAGTTGATGGTTCGATAAATATTTTAAAAATCTATACAATAAAAAGAAACGAATAAACAATTAGTCATGTACTTTTGAAACTTTTTTGTGAATGACATAGTTTATTATATCAATTGAAAACAAAAAAAATAAACAATATGCGAAATTGATACAATAGTTACTTAAATCGCCGATGATATGCATGAAATAACAAATGCTAGTAAGCTTCAATGAAGATGTAACGGACTTTTTATGAATTGTAAACAATTTCTGATGTCCCAAGTTGCTGAATAGTAACTTTACATTTCCAAGTACAATAAACATAATTAAGTAAAAAAGACTTTTTACAGTAATACAGACAGAAAAGTGTTCAACGTCAAAAAAAATGTGGTTTACAAAAAATTGGAGTACAATAATACTATCTTTTGAATATCAATCGAGATTGAATTGTATCATAAATTGAAAAAAAAAAACAAAAAATTGATGAAAATCACAAGACATTGTTTGTCTTCCCGATATATTGATTATCATTTACGCCATGAATAAATCTTGATATTATACCTGGAAAAAATTACCAGAAAATCTATAAACAGACTATAAAAAGTAGCAGATTGTCAATGATATTATGAATATATCGATTCATTAGTCGTAGTCATGAAACATATTCATTAAAAAAAACCGCAGTGTCAATTCAATAATTTATAATTTTCTTAATATTAAACAAAATGTTCTCGTATTGATTGTAAAAAAATTTTTAAAAAATAAAATTTCTATATGCTTATTGTAAATCTTTATTCTCTAAACTAATTCATATATTTATAAATAATTTTTGGATTCAATTAATTTTATTTATTTTCAATTATTCCATTAGTTTATATTCAATGGAATAAATTTAGGAAGTGAACCATGTTAATATCCTAATCACCATTTCATCCAACACAAGGTCATCTATTGAAACATGACTATGCTAGATTATGACATCTAAATTTCTGATGAAGTAAAATTAATTTTCACAACACAATTGTTTTGCTCTACTCCTACATTTATGTACGCAAAACCTTGTACTACCGATTCACGTTGATTACTGAATCAAAGTTTTTGTTGAACTAAGCAAAAAAAATGACTTTCTAAGCTTTTACTTTCTTCAGTAGTTTTTTCTTTATCTAGAAAAAATTAACCGCAAAAGGGAAAGTATTCATGTTTATTAGGCAAAAAACTTGATATAAACTGGTACCAAACCGGAAATTCGTTGAAATATATATCTCAAATGATTATATTATATACTGAACCATACTGGTCTGATAGTCAGTCGTTGAACAGCCATTGTCAAGAATAATGAAGCCATTAGATATTGTATTCACATCAACTCTACTCTGTTCTGTTTATTTGTTACCTTGTTTCGCATTTGGAAGACATTTTCCTCTCGTTTACTTTACCACAGAAAGTAGTGGAGAGTTACCAGCTGAGGATCTTGTTCCAAATCCATCAAATCATAGAGGAAATATTCTAGTTAGCAGAGGTGGTGATCATTATTCAGACCATCATGAAGCATCTGGTAATAAAGAAGACAAAGGCTACAAGCATAATCAACACTCAGACCATGGTGGGCATAAGAAGTATTTGAAGAAAAATGAAGAAGATGAGCATGAAGAGCATGATGATAATGAAAAGAAGCATCATGATGATGAAGGACAGTATTTGGATGAGCACGAACAGCAGAGAGGTAAGAAAAGAGGAAAATTTGGTGAGAAAAAAGGACATAAGAAAGGTCACAAGACAAAAGGATATCACAATAAATTTCAAAAAGATGAATACAACAAGGAACATAAGTTTTATGATGATTATCATGACGGTGGACATCACAAAAAGCATGGTGATTATCATGCTCATCATCAGAATAAAGAAGGTGGACATAAACATAAGAAAAATCTTCAACAGCAGTATCATGATCATCATCACAAGAAACAAGGCCATCTTGATGAAGGCCACTATGATAATGATCATCAGGGTCATCATAAAAAGCAGGGTCATCAAGAACACCATTCTGGTCATGAAGATTATAAAAACCATCATGATCATCATCAGAAACACAATTATGAAGCAAAAAAGAAACATTAGAATTTTGAATAATTATTTGATGTGCTGGTAATGAGATTAGCACATCATTGAAATCTATGTATTATCGATAGACTTGTATATCATATGAAAACAAAAAGATCTCTGAACTTTGGACAGTTGAGATAATAATTATTTTATGAATGAAGAAGCAATCATGTGAGTATGACTCAAAATTTATACTTGCTCGGTTTTGGAGTAAATAATTTTTTTGGAGTAACAACAGTGTTGTGATTATCATTATAAAATTTTTCGCTGGAAATGATAATAACATTTATATCTTAGTCCTATTAATTGTTAATAATTTTTTGTAATTCATCAACAATTCTTTATGCTAATTTTATTCATGGATGAGTCATACTAAATTAATTATAAGTTAAAGGTAATTTTCATATTTTTTTACAGATTATGAAATATAAATTTTACGAATCATAAATTGTTTAAAATAATAAGTTTCTTTTGTTAATCTTTTGTAAATATCCATATACAAAAATATTGATGAAAATTGATTTAAATATACTTATTATTATTTATAATGAAGTATAAAATGTAACAAAAATAAAAAATGTTAAAAATCAACATCATTATGTGTTTTATATTGACAAAATATTTCGAATAAAATCCAAATCAATTATCGTGGGTACATAAAATCATAAAAATAACAAGTACCAAGATTTTGAGACTAATTGTTTCATATTTATTATACTGATAAATTACTCAATCAAATTCAAGAAGTATTTAGATAAGATGTATATTTTTTGTTTTAAGTTCGTACAATACTTTTTAAACTTAAAATAAATATTATATTAACAATGTAATTTTTGAATAAATAAATTTCTTGAGCTATTCACCTGTACACCCACCATGTCATTTCAATTATGGCAAACAAACAATAGTGAGCAATAAATATCAAACCAGAGTTTCTATTTTAAATCATTTTTACAACTTTTTTAAACTTATCAGTACGGTTTTTATATATAAAAAAAAATTACGTTGGCTCCATCATAATTCTATTGGAAAAATAAATAATAAAAAGTAATCAGCATAAACAGTGTATTTTCAATCCAATAGTTATATTTTTTAATTCAAGAATTTATTTTTACAATTGTTTTTAAAACTGTTCTACTAATTTTTTTTGTAATCTGTTGTTTGAAAATTTTATTTTCCTACTACTTAATAAAGTAAATAATATTTTTCTATTATTCTTTCTACATTGGTGAAATCTTAATTATCCATATTCTTAACTAATTTGGATTAAAGAAGAAAACATTTACAACTATTGGAGTAGTCTTGTGACAAAACTAACAAGAGAAGTAAAAAAAAACATTTGAACTTTATTAATGTGAGAAGTTTTTTAATACGATATAAACAATTAATTGAATATAAAAAAAAAATTCATTGATTACTTGAAAACTCTATTTTTCCATCAATACTTTGAGGATTTGTGCATCATTATCACTATCTATGGGTCTAGAGAGATAAAAACCTAATCTAAAACGAGCAAAAAATGAAACGAGAAAAAAGAGCTCTTGAAAGACATAAAAGAGTCTTTAATTATTTTAACAAAAAAAGTATCTTTGTACATAGTAAAGAAGTTAAATAATTCAGTTAAATGAAATTAGAAATAAAAAAATAAAATATGTATAAAGTATACAGTTAATTAATGATATGTTATTTTTACTTCTCTTGTTTGAACATAAAATGATTAAATTAAATATAAATGTAATACTTTTTGATTGTAAATTGACTAAATAAGTATATGAGCAAATTATTCTACGTAAGAGAAAGCTCATTAACAAATCATGCTTAAATTCAGTAAACCATAGTCTGAATGACTTTCAAATATGAATTATGAGTATGGTGTCATAAGAAAAGTCAAACTATACTTATTGAAAATTTTTTCATAACTATAATGTTGTATTTGGTAACTTTAAGTTATTAATCCTATATTTATTATATGTATGTATGTATGTATATATATACAAGGTGTCGAATAAATTTAAATTAAAATAAGTAAGAAATAATCATTAACATTCGCATAAAAAGTATCTTAAAAATGATGTAGTACATGTACTGCAAATTCAGGAGCATAGTAAGAAGTAAATTAAATTTCTTATTGTATTGGAATGTTTTTTACATCTTGAATTTGCAGTGTTAGCTTATGGATTATTATACAACTATTTCATACTGACTTTATTAGTATCGTTTGATAAAAATTTATGGAATGGGAGTAAGATAATCAATATGTGTGTTTAATTACATTATGTTCACACTGTGTATCTTGTCACAATTTTTGCTTTGAGCTCTAGTTTCATTGTTGTGTTTTCCATTCTATCACAAGAAGACTTTTTATTAAAAACATTATTTTTCAAAGCTTAGAACTGATACAAAAAATTGAAAATATGAAGCTAAAGTTCATTGTTTTAGTGCAATTATATTCACTACAACTTTTATATGTAATTTATTTTTTTACAATTCAAATAGTCATCGCTATTATACTTTTCTCTTTGAATAATGAAATATTTTCTTTTCATCATGATGATAAAAATGTTTTTAACAATTATTGTACTATAGAGGATATCAAGCAAAAAATTGAAAAAGAAACAAATAAAATTTGAAACACAATAAAATTTAGGATTCTTACATTAAAATGTAGTATACTTTTGTAATTTATAATATTAATAATGTATAAAGTTAATAATTATTGTGTTTTTCTTATCAGCATTTTCATGAAAAGAAAATATTTTAACATGAAAAACTTTAATTGATCTTATTTTTCCATTATTTAATTATTATACAGCCCTGAAATTATTTTTTTTTATTACATTATGCTTGAAATAATAATATTTATAACAAAAATCTTCTTTAAACTCCCTAAAATAAACATCATCATCTACTTTATTCGCAAAATACGAATAATACTAGCGTCTAAGTTTTCTATTTTCACAAAACACTATTGAAAATAAACCAATCATTTTGATATATTATTAATTCACAAAATTCAAACAAGTGCGTTAGAATCCATGAATTCTATCACAGATTAGTCAACTACTATATTTTTGAATTATATTAAGGCGTTAAGTAGTAGACGCCAGCAAAAAGTAGTTTATTTTTCATTATTCATCGTTTCATATGATCATCATAAATATTTTAATAAAAAATCCTGGGACAGTAACATTTTACTAAAAGTTCTAGTTGACAGCAACACTTGAAAAAAATAAAATAAAAATATAAGTAAAAGTAAAGATGATCAATTAAAACTGATCATTGTGAAAGAAATACCCGTATTTCATTTTGTAATGACAAATTAATTGGAGAAGTTAGAAAAAAATATATAAATATATCATAATAAAAACAAAAAGCAGTCTTGCATATCATTTAATCAAATCCACACTGAATTCTTGAGATTAAATATGATATTATTCTTTAGATGATATTGAAAGTGATTCTCGACTATTTTCACTAGAGTAATTAGGAAGCACAAGTGATCCAGTAGCTTCGAGACTCAAAAAACCCGTCGGTGAATTACTGCTGCTTCTAGTATCTCCAACTTGTGATGAAGATGAACATCCTGTTGCAGTGTCACAAGATATCAAGCCTTCTTTCATACGTTTTTTTTGTTTCATTCGTCGATTTTGAAACCAAATTTTCACTTGGGTTTCATTTAATTGTAAAGCTGATGCTATTTCAATACGTCGAGCTCTGGTTAAATACTTATTGAAGTGAAATTCTTTTTCTAATTCAGTTAATTGTTTATTCGTAAAATTCGTACGACCTGTATTATTAAAATTCGCTGATATTCCACTTACAGATGTACTTGGACAACTAGTAGATGTTGATAGCGATGTGTAATTCGGAATCACGGTAGGATTATTTATAGATATGCTCCCATACTCCATACCTACTTGATTGTTTTTATTACCTATAACAAAAATGATAACAAACACATCAAGAAGTTGCATTGTTTTTAAGTCATATAAAAATGTTATACTTATCAAATTTTTAAAGTTATCATTTTATAGATCATTGTCTTAGATGAATGTGATGCATTATATGATGCTGATAACATTATCCAGCTTATTGGTGTAATTAAATTTATTTAAGCACTCATGGATTTGATGGTTATATGAGATTGAAAGATTTCAAAATATTTATTGTTTTTGCCAGGCTCAAAAGAGACTAAACCACCAACTTTTATTGACCTTTTATATTTCTAATATCACTTAAAATAGATTTTATTTAACCATCGTCCACATTCATATTCATTCTATACCATTTTAAGGTAATTCTATACTTTGAGTTAATCCAAACCCCCTGTACACAGATATAATCTTACGTCATCTGTGAAGTTATCAAAGCTTTCAGTCTTAAATAATATTTGAATTGCACATCTCTTTCTCTTCAAGAAGAAAAACTGCTTATTTTCAAATCGGAATATCAACTTTCCAATAGTGTTATTAACATAATTTATTTTATCACTATTTTTCAATCTCGTAAGAAAAATAATAATTAATTATAGAGTGAAATTAAAATGTTATAATTAAAAACCATTATTATTATTTTTTCATCAAATTTCTGATAAATTGAATGAATGTGAATTTAAATATAACTGACAATTTCTGCGATAAAACAGGTTAGGTTAGAATCTAGATGACATATCAACAAAGCTTATTGGTATATTATTATATTTTACTTTAATGACTGATGGTAAAAAATAATAAGCTATTTTCATATATTTCTAGAAGTTATTTTCTAGTCTGTCCCTGAACTTGGACACAAAATCTTTGTAACCCGCAATCTAACAATGAGAAAACATAGAAAGAGACAATCTTATGTTGCATGAAGGGTTTTTAGTAAACTCGTGAGTGAACGGCTGATATCTAACAAGGGGATCTGAGGACTGCTTGCGTGTTTTGAACTGGCCACTGAACCTACGCCTGCTGGCCAATCTATCCCCTCTTCCTCTTTACCCTCTCACATAGTCCACGTGTTTTACTTACGTCCTACAGTGATTTTCATTTCCTCGAGGTTTCATCGGTCAGTTAATAGTAAGTATACACATATAAGTACTTTGATACATAAGGCTTTGAATTTCTTTCTTTTTTTTTTTTTAATTATAGTCCTAATTAGATGAGACAGAAAAAATGTTTCATTTTTATTTTGAATAAAAAAAGGTGTTAGGCTATGTTTACAATATTTAGGAAACGTTTTAGTCATATCAGAGTTTTTAGATAACACTTTTTTCCAGGGTATGTAATTTTATTCGGTAAATTCGGACATGAGAGCTTCAATCAACTTGGAGTAGAAAAAAAATATTTGGAAATATTGAAATTGAATTTTTTTTCAACTAAAATTATTATTCATGAAATTAATTTTTAGTCATAATAAAAGATTAGTGATTTAAAAAAATTCTTTTTAATATATGTAAAAAAAAAAACTGTGTTGTAAAAAAATCAATAATTGATAATGAGATTTAATTAAATTTTTAATTTGCATAAAATTGACATTTGATCTTTTTTTTGTTTATTTCAATTAAATTTGTTACTATCTCGTTTTCAATTAAGGTTATTAAAGTTTACCATAAAATCCTTTCAACTTTAGTAATAGCATATAATCATTACTTAAAAAACTACTTTGAAATGAAAATCATCAAAAGTTGTTAATTTATTTAAAACTTTCTAACTAAATATAAAATAATTTGATTGCAATGCATGCATACGACATATTTCGAGTTATTTATACACAAATACCCTTGTTGAATATTATTTTTTATCTGACAGATGATTAAAAATTTTCAATAACCAATAAAAATAATCCAACTATTCTATTGGGACTCAAATAATTAAAGATTCTTTTATTCAACATTTCTCTTTTATTTTTGTTTTTCAAATATTCTATTCAACTGTGTAAATACTGTATACAAAATTATGACTATAATTTAAAAAAAAAAATAGTGCTATGAATAAATTAACATGAGTTATGGAAAATTATATTCATAAACATCATTTAAGTTGATTTGCACAAAGAGATTTAATCATCGCATTTAAAATAAAGTCTTTTAAATCATTTAATCATTCAGTAATAATCATAGATAAACGTATATTTGTCCAAATAAACGAAATTAATGTTTGTAAATGGCTTTGTTGTAAAATTGAGGTTAAAAATACTGGCACGAAAGGTGAAAAGTGGAAAATCAATGAACGACGAAAGCCTGGATTTAACTATAGTTCTACAATATTTAATTATTGAAGGTAAAAAATTTTCAAAAAGATTATTAATATAATATAAATCCATCTTGTAACATAAAAAATTACAATGTTCTAATTCTAATAATCAATTAATTAATATATATATCTTTTTCAGAATGTAACAATCACTGGATAATCAAGATGTTGATCTTTCACTTCTGTAAATACATGAGATTTATAATTCATGAGATGAGCAAGAAAGCTGACCAATTTTCAGGGAAACCCTTTCTGTTGGTTTTTTTAATTTTAAATTACACGTATAGCATGAATATTTGACAACAATACTAGATAATTACAACATATGAATATTTAACTTTTGGAGTGCATGTTTGGTTGGTTTCACCCCATCAGATAATCAAGATTTAAAGATAACTGGTAAATTCCACCCCATACTTAGAGGAAAAAAGTTCTATCATTTTCACAGAATTTTCAATTAATGAATTTCATGAACTTCATGAATTAATAAACCTCAAGATAATCTGCCAGTTTTAAGTAAAAATTTATTTTAATTCAAGAAATCAATTTTAATCTTTTTTTTTGTTCTTTTTCTTGGTATTGAATAATTTATAATTGAAGGATAAAGAAAAAAATAGCTTTGAATAGCATAATGCACCATAAAGAAGTGCTTTTTCCTCAACATTGGCACCTTTCTGCTCATCAAAAAATATAATTGAAAATACAATTTTCAATTTAAGTCTGGCATACATCTTTATTCTTGTAAAAAATATCACTGTTAGTCTAATCTTGACGGGAAAAATTCCATTGATGAAGAATTTCTCATCCATTTATTCCCCTAATCTCGTCGTATGGAGTGTCATTGAGGGAAGAAAAAGAAATCGAATTTGGTATATGATAGATATGATAGATCGGGGGTCAAAGCTTGACAACATTTCGTTCTAAGGGGTTGGCCTAACCTTGGAACGTATGTGAAAGCTTCTATAGAGAACAAGAGAAGAGAAGAACGGAGATGGATGCAAGGGCGAGAAAAGATGGGAATATTGGCCAATCCTAAGCGGTTACCAAGTCAAACTTTATTATTGTTTCATGCTCCGCCCTATATTTTTTTTTCTGTGATGTTTAACGAAAATTATTGAAACTAGTTATTTCTATTACTCAACATATAGAACAAAGATATTAGAAAAATTGCCAATCATTGCTAAAAATATTTATATTAATAATATAAGCGTTGCATTAATCATTTTAATATATCTAACCACCTTGATATTTCTTTTCTTCGAAATAAATATTTGAATCAATAAAAAAATGACTTTGGGTTGTAATAAGTTATCTTAATCTAAATCTTGCCTTCAGGAATTGATGAAATATTATAAAAAACAATTCAGTGCTATAATTATTGTAATTAATGTAAATTAATCTTTGATTTCTTTAATGTCATGAATATTATTCTAAAGTTTTGAAAAATAGTTGAGTATAAAAATAAAATATGCTAATAAAAACGATTCAAAAGGCAATAATGAATGCATTAATTTTTATCTAAACATTTTCCAAAACCTCAAGCTTCTTAGTCTTACAATGCATATTGTGAAATGTATATCACACCCACTTGCATAGTTTTGAGCAAAGTTAAAAATTACTGATGCTAAATATCAGCACAATATGACTGAGAAGCATTCATCTTGATATCTAACTAGGTTTTTATTTTATTTATGCTGATCTAGATCAGCTATGGATAAAAGCTTTTATCCAAAAAGAGGCTAATGATTATGTTGTAAAGTCAACAATTGAAAAAACATTACAGGATCAGTTTAACTTATTAGACTGTTCAATTGTACATTCTAGTTGTTCATGTTACCAGTGAGATATATCACTGTATATCAATGACATAATGTTTTCTACCGAAAATTATAGCATGTAAATTATGCAAAACCTACTTGGAATGTTATAGAATTGTATAAAGATCTGATGATTGTTATTAAATAAAATAATTTGTTAGATGACCCTGAGAGTCAAGATAGTATCCAATGATTAGTTTTAATTAGAAAAGTTACCTGATAGATTTTCTATTAATTATAAAGCCAATTATATTATACTTTGATGAATAACTTTTTTTGGAGTCTAGATAATAAAGATCTTATTTTCTAAAATAGATATTTGGCTTTCTGTCGCTACCAGTTTAAAACTTCTCTTGGTGATTCATTTTAAGGTATATACGTACACTGTCAAAGTCACTGAAAGTCAATTTTAACTTTGACGATGAATAATTTGATAAAAAAGCAGACTGTACGAAAATTGAACAAAAAAAATAATAATTAAAAAGCAAAATAATGTAACAAAAATTTATTTAAATAATTAACGAAACATTTTCTGCATCTATTTTTGTTCACCAACCATTATTTCATTCATTAAAATTAACCAATTATCCCCCTTAGAAAATATTTTCTTTATGAAATAATTAATATTGAAGGTTTGAAATGACCAATTTAAATAATAATTCTTAAGGAAGCTCGATAAAATAATCGTTAATCCAGAAATGATATCAAAATGAAAAACGTCAATAAACATATTATCATCCAACATACATTTTCTATATAAATATATGATAAAAAAATACATAAAATTTTTTCGATCAAATTATTGATGTGATTATAATCGAAATATTGACGCGATGTTACTGTTATTATTATTTTGTCAATGAAACGACTCATCCGCAATGATTATCTTGACTTGCACAACGTCGAGAAGCTGCCAAGATAACAAGCAGAGTCTCCTGGCTCAGTTAACATTTTAATTGACTTAACGCATCCACGTCAACTTTGTCTTAGGGATTCTGATTGGCGCCACTATGTCGTGTAACTTATTTTTTTATAATCAAGTTAGATAATTATAATTTCTTGCTCTCACATAGGTCTCTTATCTAAGTTACAGCAACCCTAACAATATCCAACTCCAAAAATATTGCTAACAAAATTCTCCAATTCTCAGAAAGACATCTTCTAGTAAACAAAGCAGTAAAGCCCAAAAGAATCCAATTGACCAATTGAAAAATACTTGAAAAATAGCCAAGAGATAAATGAATTGTTCAATCAATCAAGTAATAATTATTGATGCTCACCAATAGGCTTAGGAACATTTCTCTTGACTTGCATCCATTTATAAGTTGGCACTTGACTTGTTTGCTGTTGTTGTGATTGCTGCTGATGGAGAATATGACTTTGCATCCGTCGTTGATGATATTGATGAACTTGAGAATGAATCGAGTGGCCTGTAGGTTGTTGAAGACCAGGACGATATGACCTGAGATCGGAATTTTTGTCATTATAATGTCCCGTCGGATGAGAAGGATATTCATTTTGTCTGAGTATAGTTGATATCTGGCTACTATGACGTAGAGTATCCTCCGGCGAGATCTCTTGGATATGATTAGAATTGCTAGTAGGTCGTTTATGATATTCACTATCGAAATGATGAGATTGACTAGATTGAGAGTGATTAAGCGGTTCGTAATCTGGCTTAGTATTAAGAGGAACTTGAACAATGGTCGTTTGCTGGTATACTCTCGAAGGAATCCGATGCTCGTCTCTACAGTCAACGTGTTCCACTTGATGATATACCGGATGATAAGAATCAACATGACATGACATAGTCTGCTGGCGGTGTTGACTAGCTGAATAGTTTGTGTAATCCAGATTGGTGTAACTGAGACCATTTTCAGATGATATAATTGGTGTACCATCTTCATATAAAACAGCCCCTGATGGTGAATAAAATGTCTGTGGTGAAGTACCTGAGGAATTGGACTCTGTCGCCAGGTAAACTTCTGAAGATGATGAATGTGGTACAATACTTGATTGAGGATAGTAATGCTGATTGGTTAACTCTGCTGAGCTTAATACTGATCCATGTTCATCTGGTGATGTTGATGACTGGTGATGATTAGTTTGAAAGCTAAAATAAGAATCAGGCTTTCCATAACTTCCGGACATGCCCATGTCCATCGTCATCATCCTTACGGCAAATTAACAACATTAATTACGTCTTCTAATTCACGTAATTTTATCCAGCCACTTAACTAATATATCCAATGATCCAGTGAATCATCAAGTGTGCAGTCAAAACCATTAATGTCAAAACTTGAACATTACACTATTTTATTTTCATGTCACACACCATCCACCATATTCTCATTTTTACCTTCCAAGATAAGACTTTTTATTAAAAACTGCTTTAAATAAAAATAGAACAAAAAAGGTATGAGAAAGAGAAAAAATATAATCCACGTGTAAAATAATTTATTAATCACAACCTTTCGACTTCAACTCCTGAAGCGGACTGTGGCCTGGCGCAGGTGAGACCACTCGAGAGGACAGACACTCAGGGGATATCTCATCATCACATTTTTCTCACTCTCTCGTTTTTTCTCTATCTTTTTCTGTTTCACTGTTTAGTCGTTGGTATACCAACTTTCTCTATGACTCTCTTTCTCTTTTTCTTGCCTCTTTTCTCTCTACATCTTTCTCTTTCTTTTATTGCGTGCTTAGGAGAGACCCTTGTTCTCATGTGCAAAGCCACGCAATTGGGCGTGTCCTGGTCAATGTCACGTGACCATGAGGAGGCGTTAACAACCAATGAAGAAAAGCTGCTTGTTTCCGCATCCACCGTCCGCGTGATGGATAGTACATTGCCCGTGCTTTACTTATTTTTATCTATTGTGCTGCAGTTGATACTTATCATACGATATTTGCAATGAACGATAATACATAATTTTTGATATATCAATAATTTTATTAAACAATTGCAAATATTTTCATGATCATTTTGCCTGTTGCACTTTTACCTGCAGGTCAAAGTTATAAATTTGAACCCTTATAAGTTACATCTTAAGATTGTGGTTTCATGCTGAATATATATATATATTACCATTTATAATTTGATTGATTATAATAATTATTTTTTAGTGTCACTGAGAGCTTAATAGAGTGACAAATTGTTCTTTTAAAATGAGTCAACTGAAACTAGTCCAAATCTAGTATAAATTTTCTAGTTTTTTGGAATAATACGGTTTTCCGGGAAGTTAAATACTGAGAAAAAACTATGGATTAACTAAATTATTTAAAATATTTATAATTTAGAAAATTTTAATAATAATATGAACATTCACATATGGAATGAAGTTTGAAAAATATTGGAAAAAATGAATTTTTAAGTAGTAAAAGTCAACGTCAATATTGCCAATCACATTGAGAGAAATATATAGTTGGATTTACTATTAATAGTTTGAAAAGGACTCAACTATTTTATGTTAAATGAGAAATTAAGATAGGATTGTAAATTCAACTATGGGACTCAACTATTATTTTTTAGAGTACATTCATGACTTTTATAAAAACAGTCTGTTGGGCTGGAAAATTTTTGGAGTAAACATTGTTCTCATATTTTGGATGTATAAAGAACGAGTTATAGATCTAATAAAAATTAATCGAACAAATAGATAAAAATTGATTTCAAGTTCGTTAAATATTAGTCTGAATGAATGATTTAGTTTGGAGTAATTTTTACTCCAAAATGGATAATGTTTTTTTTTTATTTTATTATTATATATATTATCACACTAAATAGGTATCTTTTTATTTTCCAAATCTTTTAAATCAACTTAAGTTCATCTAATCCTAATTATAGCCAACATCCATGACAAATTTTGATTTTCGAAAGTATGATATTTTAATTATTCAAACAAACATTTCACTCTGATTCTATTTATTTGATGAGCAATAGGAAATATTACATTTATACTGCAAATCAAAGTGTATTCTTGTAATACATCTAAATGTGTTAAATATGACGTCACCCATTTGATTAACATTTTAGTCACTTTTTACACGCATAGAAACGCATTAAAAGTGACTGCAATGTTAATCAAATGGGTGACGTCATATTTAACACATTTAAATGTATAACAAGAATGCACTTGAATTTACAGTATACATGTAAAAATGATGCACTTAGATTTGGAGCATAGCCATCATTGGTACTCCAAAACCTTTCCTTTAGACACATTTATTGAAATCACCAAATTTTTTTGGGTATTTAATATTAAACTCATCTTCACTGACTCTTTAAAAATGTAAAAAAGACTAGTCTTCATGAAGCCTTTTTATTATTTGACAAATCAAAATCTCCTTTGTAATCTTGACATGATCAGAGTTGACTGTAAACTTCTCAGTAACTTCAACTCCAATATTCGGCCCAGTCATCAAAATGATATTTTCACATTTCTTTTGAAAAATTTCATTGTCAAGAAATGAGTAGATAGACGCAGTGTTTACTTTAGATTTTTATGTATAATATTTTCTGTTGAGTCTATTGAGCAAAAAAGCATTTTAGGGAGTGAGTTGTGCATACTGACTTACAGACACTTTTCAAACAAATAATAGACGCTTACGAATCCTCCTGGGTTTTGTCCTCTGTACCATCCTCTTCCTGAATTCTTCGGGGAGGTTTCCTTTCACCTACGTGTTTCCAACAAGTGAATTGTACCAGACACCAGTCTGTACACACTATTATTGTTTAGTGTGCATTAAATTGCAGGATTATAGGCGTGAGTATTTTATTTCAATTCTGAAATGCTTTTGTTCTTGACTTTTTGACTTTTGATCACTATCTGACATATTTACTTTGGATCATGACAATGACTATTTTAAACATCAGTCCAATGGTAAACAATCTATTTTTCTTTGTATTTTTTACTTGCAATAAAATTTGCATCAGTAAAGATTTAATTCCTTTTTTACTTCAAAATTTGCTGTTTTTCTTTTTATTTTATATTGATGATTATTTATCAATCATATTTTATATTTTGTGAATAGTACAGCCATTCTTTTCTGAATCATTTCAATAATTATACTGTTAGATCTGTTGTTAATAAATAAATTGTTTAGATGTAAATTTGAATATTTGTTGATAAAAATGTTCACAAAACTTTGATACATAATATGACATATGTATTGAAAATCATACGAAAATTTTGATTTTCTTGGCTCAAGTTATTTATCTATATTATTTTATTATTTTCTAATACTCGTTATTAATTATTATTGGCTATTCTTTATAACTATTCTATGTTATTTCCGACATTGTTGACGCTCATCTGGCTTATACTTTTGAATCTGGTTCATTATAAAATAACATAAAATAAAAAAATGTCTTTCTTCTTAACAATTTACTCCAAAAATAAATTTACGACTTCTTAATTCACTCCATTTGATAAAAATATCATATTCCTCTCATAATATCATTTTATTTTGTTATTAATCATTTTAATAAAATATAATTTTTTAAATTTCTATATTTTCGTATAATAAATAATCTAACCACAAGAATTTTTGCAACCATTTAAAAAACTTTATATTATGTAATTTTTTTAGTAAAATTTATTTGAATTGTTGCACTTTTCTGTGGTAAAAATGACTTTTTACAATATAAATGACATTCCTACATAAGCAATTGTAGGTAGAACTAAGAAATGACTGGCTTGATGTGTCTCGTACTCGTCTTCTTTTTTTTGCTTTTGGTTTTATTCGGCACCATGCTGCGTTTTGACGTGGGATGAGACACCTACATTGTCATTCTAAAGTCTCAGAAACGTCACGTTTGAGTGCCTTATTTTCCTTTATCTATTTTGGTCAGTGTACCTCTCTCGTTGATTTTTTTCTCCTTTTCTTACAATGATTTTTGTTTTCCAACAGGACTTAACTTATCATATATACGAAAACATTGGACATGAAGACCATTTATCTGTCTATATTACATCTCTATTCAAAATTATCATTAATTAACTTGTAACATGAACAACTAAAGGATCTAAAGATTAAAAAATGATCATTAATCTTCATAATCACTTAAAACTAAAAGTTTTAATGAGACAATTTGTTCAATTATCTTGGAAAAAATATCTGCAATTTTTTCAATTCTTATAAATAATCTTTGAAAATTAATAATAAATGTTTTTAACATGTTATAATTTAGTTATCTACATATAACTAATAAAGAAAATCATTATTATTATAGTAAGAAAGTAATTTAAAGAATCTATACTTGTTCAGTTTTTGAAAGCAGAACAGCACCTTCCGTTCGAATGTGAGCAAGAAAAATATGGGATCTTGCAAGTTCACTGACAGAATGACACATTCCAAGATGACAGTAAGAAAAAGAGAGAAGAAAGAAATACTTTTGTCTCAAGAAACAGCAGGTAACTGATAAGACTGATAATTATAATATCATATTAATGCTGTATTAAAAATTTTTTAAATAACACTAATACTTTATTATTAAACTTTTATGTTTAAAAATAATTGTTGAGAAATATATTACTAAATGTAGGTTCAATAGTTCATTTAAAAAATATTTTTAGTTAGAAATATATCTGTGGTTTTCACTTGTGAATCATGTCTTTTAAAAACTGATCGAGATAACATTTTTTTCAGTAGATCAGTAAAACCTTCATTAAACTGATGAGTATATTTTTGTTAGATCTTTGATTAAGTCAGGATAAATTAAAAAAATTATGTAATACTAAGCCGTTTCTCTATAACTCATCTATATTTAATTCATGTTAAAACATTTTTTATAGCTTTTGTTGATTTATTTATAGTTTATTATTAAAAAAAAAAAATATCTGTTACCACAACTGCAATGTCATCTGCGTATAAGAGAAAATCATTTTTGCTTATTCATGTTTCCAAACATGATTTGAGCGGTTGATTCCTCTTGTATACACCAACCACAAAATGATACATTTACCTAAATTTTAAAATCATCAAGAAATCAATGGTTGAAACTCATACCTGAAAAAAATTATGCAAAAGAAATCAATTTGCAATAAATATGAATTCTTTTAAATGATAAAAAAAATTAAATAAACTTTTACCTTTCCAATAAGAATGTATTTTTTGTATCTTTATTCTCAAGAAGAGAAAATTCTCAGTAATGATACAATTAAAATATCTTTAAAATAATTATTTTGTTAAATGTCACATCCCTAGCAATCGATCTTTCACAGAATATCTTTTAATTTTCACCAGCTACTTTTCAAAATAATGTCATGAACGGCAATGTCTTTTTCGTCTTTTCCCGATATTTTCTTTCTTGACTTCCTTCTTTGTACACCAATCCTGGCAGGCATGAAAGTGAAAAAAAAAAAAATTCTTCGCA